GGGGGGGGGTTCTTTTTGAGACAGGGTCTCCCTATAGCCCCAGCTGTCCTGGAACTATGTAGACTAGGCTGGCCTTGAACTCACAGAGATCCACCTGCCTCCACCTCCCAAGTGCTGGGATTAAAGGCGTGCACCACCACGCCCGGCTCAAAACTCATCTATTAAAAAAAAAGTTTATACAACTATAAAATGTTTTATACACATGACATTAAGCAAACATCAAACTGTCAATGAAAGGCATAATACCTTGAATGAATGAATGAATGAATGAAAAAGTGTTTTGTGTTCTAAGCTACAGGGACAAAAAAAAGATTTATCATAATCTAATCTATAAATGAATTTGAATTTCTAACTTTAACATACATCCAATAAAATAATAAGATTTTTTAAATAATTGGACAAGCTATTTGTAAAATTCATGAAAAAATATTCTTGAAAATAGAACCAAAATGAGAACAGATTTTCAGCTATTTAGATATGCAATAATGAAGAGAAGTGTCTGTGGTAAGAAAACAGCATGATCAAATAAACAAAAGGAAGCACAGAATAAATTCAAATTCGAAACAGGTGTATGTAATAAAAAATGGAATGTTTCAGTATAAGATGGAATATTCAATAAATGTTTAAATAAAAGTTCCACTGCATCCATATATACCTTTATACCAAAATTAATTATATATACCTCAAAGATTTAAAGATAAAAAATGAAGCCAGCTTTTCTAGCCCAGACATTTTTTTTACATAATAAAAATGTTTTTTAGCTAGAGTAAATCCTTAAAATAAGAACTAAGTCTATATCAAAATAAAAGGAGACAGAGCTGTTTGTCTGAGAAAAGTACCTTCCACTCCTCTACTTTTGCATTGACAGCCATCATGACTGGATCATCTTCTTCATCCTTTGCTTTCAGAAGATCTGTGAGTTCTCGCACCTAAGAAGTAACAATTGTTTCAAGAAATGGTGCAAATTAGTGCAACATGATGCATGTATTACATATTCGTATTTATTTATGCATATATTACATATGCTATTTATTATTGGAAGAGTTCTATAATTAAAGGTGACAGTTAATGGCTTTCGCGTCTTTAAACGGGCTGAACTAAATGAAAATTTAACATCTGAAATACTTCAAAATTAGACTTTTGGTGCTGATGCGATGCCACAAGTAAAAAATTCCACATCACATTTCAAATGTGACATGTCTCAGTCAACAGGCTGGTACACAAAGAACATTGCATTCAGGATATGAGTAACTGGTGCATATGAAACATAAATAAATTTAGTATGTAGACTTTGATCTTATGCCCAAGATAGCTCAAGTATATGCAAATATTCTAAAATCTAAAAACATACACAATCTGGAAGACTTATGGTCCCAAGCGATTCAGATAAGCTATACTTAGTATGTTGTTATATAATTATTTTACTACTAGGGAATTTTAATTTTAAATCGTATTCTACTGAAAACATGTTTAAGTAAATAGCAAAGAATACATTGGCCTTTAATATATTTATAGTGTATTTAAGATACAAAGTTAAGGCGTGGTGGCACATGCCTTTAATGCCAACATTCAGAAGGCTGAGCAGGCAGATCATCTCTGTGAGTTCAAGGCCAGCCTGGTCTACATAGTGAGTTCCAGGACAGCTGGGGCTACAGGGAGACCCTGTCTCCAAAGACCAGAAAAAAAAAAGAATCCTGTGTTTCAAATGACAGAATGCATGAACTCGGAGGAGGGGGGGTATGCTATGAGAGGCTACCAATGGGAAGAGAGAACAAAAATTCAACAGAAAATGTACAAAAGACAAGATACAATGCTATATCCACAGGATTTTCAAAAGTGTTAAGCAGAAAATCTCCACGTCCCCAAAATTATTTATAGGACTTTCTCTGTATATTCATTGAAGTATTATTTACATGTCTTAACTAGCAAGAATCACAAAGTGCATGTGAGATTAAGAAATTCACATAAACAAATATTATCTATTTTTTTTTAGTTATTTATTTTTTTTATTTAATGTGTATGCATGTATTGCCTGCATGTAGGTAAGTGCACCCATGTTGTTCAATGCCCACGGAGGACAGAAGAGGCTGGCAAATCCCCTGGAAGGAGTTACAGACAGCTGTTACCTGCCATGTGGGTGCCAGGATTCGAATCTGGGTCTTCTGGAAGAACAACCAGTGTTCTTAACCACTGAGCCATCTCTCCAGCCCCACAAATATTATATTAATGACAGCAAGCTACTTTATTAAGAAAAGCAACAAAATTCACATCCTACAAAATTAAAATATTCATGGTGTCAAATAAGCAGTAATAAATTGACATGAAGCCTCAACACAAGTCAGAAGACACTACTTCTTACTTGAAGTTGATAGTGTTCATTCTCTTTTTTTAACTGGTCCATAACAGTATCTGTTTGATGTACAATAGCTTTCATCCTGTTATATTCGTCTGTCATTTTCTCCATTTCCTGAACAGATTCTTCTAGATTTTTTCTCATTTCTTGGTTCTGAATTTCAATTTTCTCATTAGCTTCAGTTAAGGTCTACAAAAGTTAAATACATTACTATTTAAAAATAGTTTTATAAGAAAGTTAAACTACTTTAAAAATTAAATGGATCCATAAGGCTGGTCCATTGGACAAACATGATTCTTCACTGACTGTTAGGATGAACTGGCATTGACCAATTAAATCAAATTAAGTATCAAGAAAATTGAACATAGAGGCTCAATTGTAATTAGTGCCTAATATAGGCAAAATATGAAAAAATGAATAAATTGACCTCCACATGTACTGTGCCATGCACACACTTCTACTCAAAAATGAATATGCGCACACACACACACACACACACCATATATACCAACACAAAACAAATGTATAAAATAAAACAAAAATGACCGGCAGCAAATATATAGTGAAAACTTTGCAAGGAAGGATAAATATTAGATTTATACCATACTGATATTAAAGTTTTATGAGATCATTGAACTGAGTACTCATTTTTACCTGAATTTCATCCAGATATTGAACAAGTTCATAGTTTTTTTTAGACAACTGTGATCGATAGTTGCTGTCTTCTCCTCTTCTTGATAAAAGTGTTTCTTTCTGTGAATCTATTTGTTTCTGGTAGTCAATAATATCCTGGCGAAGCTGTTCATTCTGAAGTTAGAGCACACAGAGTAGTCCATTAAGGAAACTATCCAAAACCAAAAGAAAAACAACAAAAAGATAATAATACTGAAAATAACAAAATTCTATCTTCTAAACAGTGTTTTCAGAACATCTTTAAATTCCCACAGATTTGCTACACTTAAGGCCTTACCGTTTTCTTTAGACGTTTGTTCTTCAGAAAAGGACAGGACAAGGATAATTAGAAATGAGAAAGGCAACAGCACACAGTTAAAAATAACAGAAATTAAAGAAAACAAAGAAAATTTTAAGACAATGAAGTTTATTAAATAACTAAAGAGTAAAAATATTATTAACCAAGACAAAGAACAGTTTGACTAGGTTAAAAAATTTTTTAAATAAACAATACAAAACATTTTTTTGGTGCAAATGGGCCAGATAATAATCAGAATTTATAAGATTTCATGAGAAACAGAAATTTTGAGAATGCTGGATAAATAGTAAAAACAGAAACCTACTCATAAGCTCAAATGGTAAATTAGCAAAACGGCTTCTATAACAGAAAGTAAGATTTCCCTGCTATAAGCTATTTAATGGTCTCACATCATTTTGATTTATTTTGTAATTCTCTTACATAAAATCATCATAAAATCAGCCAATCTAAACACACTAGTTACTGAAATTACTTTTCTGATTAAAATATAAATTAAAATAAACTCTTTAAACAAGGAGCTTTGTTGAACCACCACAACTAAAATTTTCTACCAACCTCTCTTCTTAATTTGCTGTTTTCATTTTCTGCCTCCTCATTTCGAAGAGCCAACTAAAATAGTAATTAAAAAAAAAAAAAGATAAAACTCATCAGTAATTCAACAGAGTCAGGTTTTCAGCTTGTTAATTTTAATTCTAGACCCTTTTCCAATAAAGTAAAGAACATTTAACTACTATAGACATCATACCAAACTAGGCCATAACTAAGATTAGAAAGGATAAAACAGGCTCAATTTAAAAGATTAATAAGAAATACAAACCAAAAACAAGCCAAAGGCTACAAAGAAGAAAACTACCTAAATAAGTTCTACTCCCCTGACCCCATCCCTTAAGAAAGGAGTGCTTTCTATCCATGATCACAGCATTCTGCCATTCTTGCATACCACAGATAAAGCTCTCTTAGTAAGCACTTAGGAAAATGGCAGGACAAGATACGGTTACATGAAATGACCTGAAATCAGAGTGCCCTCTGTTTACATCCTTTGTCTGTAATTCCTATTAAAGTATGAAAGTCACTTCGTATCTGTTAAATTCATTTTTATCTCATTTTTTGAAATAAGAAGGATGATGTACATTAGCACAATACTCAATGAGCAGAACAGCAAAAAAATGTGTTCTTTTCTTTACATAAAAATAGTGCATCTGTACCTATTTCTTTGGTTTTCCAGACAGGAAAACATTACACCCATTCTGATGTTTTATTAATATACTCCAGAAACCACCCCTCTGATGACCTTTCACTTTTCTGTTTTCTCCCTTACTTAAGGAAAACCATTCAGTCACAAAGGTATAGCCAAATATGGAGCCAAATACAGCATGTAATCTTTGATGAAACTTTGGATACAGGTGGATGGCAGGTAAGAAGTACACAGTATATTATTGGGTGAGAAGAGGATACTAATTATAGATATGAATAATGAATCAATGTGAAATTTCCTGAACATGATCCATTATGTTTTGGTTGTATAGTACAGAATATCTACTTTAGGAGAGATATGCTGTAATATTTAAGTGTTTGGTAAAATATCTAAATTCAGTCTCAAATAGGTCAGAAAAAAACTAATTTGGTGAGAGACAGAGATGTATGTCTATATACACAAAGCTGGAGGTAACTGAACCCCTACTGCAGAATCAGTTTGCCATTGTATCCAGAACCAGAAGATGGGGCCACACATCCCTCCAGAGTATCTCAAAGTATTCTTACATCCTAATGTAGGCCCAATGTATGGCATTATTCCTATGTTATACTTACTACAAAGTAGGAATATCCCTTAGAATCAGACAATTTATATTATACATTAAAGGTTTTGTTATACTGTAATAAAGCTGATTGGTTAAAAGTAAAGAAGGCACTGTCCATCTCCCAGCAGCTGGAAAAGTACACAGGCCATGTTATTCAAGTTTTCCAACTTTACCACATATAAATATATGTAACTTTTTACCAAAATAAGTAACAGTAAGAAAATCACTAGTTTATGAATGTGAAATTAATTTTTTCATATTGAGACAAAATCATGAATTTTATATAATGTCTGTAGGGAACCAGGCTACAAAATTAAGGAACTAATTTCCAAGTCATATCATTAGAAGTAGAGAATTCCATTAAATTTTAAAGATGTGTTGGTAAAATGGTATAAAAGTTAGCTAGGTGGCTGGAGAGATGGCTCAGCGGTTAAGAGCACGGGCTGCTCTTGTAGAGGACCCAGGTTCCATTCCCAGCACCAACATGGCAGGTAAGAACCATCAGTAATTCCAGGGGATCTGGCATTCTCTTCTGGTCTCTGCAGGCACTGAACACACAGATGCACTTACATACAGGCAGACAAAACACTTATATACATAAAATAAATACATAAGGCCAGGCACGGTGGCGCTCGCCTGTAGTCCCAGCACTTGGGAGGCAGAGGCAGGTGGATCTCTGTGAGTTCAAGGCCAGCCTGGTCTACATAGTGTGTTCCAGGATATCTGGGGCTTACAGGGAGACCCTGCTTCAAAAAGACCAAAATAAATAAATAAATAAATAAATAGATAAAAAATTTAAAGTAGCTAGTTATATATTACTTCTCAATTATGTAATGAGAAACTGATATGACCAATAATATAAAAACTAAGGTCAGACATAAAAGAACAGTTAAGATTAACAGTTAAGAGTCATTGAAAACAATGTGCTTTACTTGTTCATTAACTTTCTTCTCTTTATCCAGCTCCTTTTCCATGTCCTCTAATTCTCTATCCTTTTGTTCCAATTGCTTTTCAAGTTGACGAATTTCATCACGTAAAAACCAAGTGTCCCGTCCACCTGCAGACTGCTGAGCCATCTTAAAATAATAAATCAAAGATTAATTACTCAAATATATAACTATTCAATTAACTTGAAGGCTCAAATGAATCAATAAACAAGTAATTTATCTTAGTTTAAATTTTCATTATGCTTCAACATGAGATGTTTAAAATTGTATGATATGGGCTGGTTTTTGAAGAAGCTGACCTTATTTAGTTCATAACCAACAATCTTTTAAATTTTCTTGAACCACCAAGAACCACAAAAAATGGACTGTAAATCAATCACTCCAGATTTATTTAGGTCACTAAAGCGTAGGTATCAGACTAATTGTAAAGTTTTAAATTGTAGGCTGTAAATTATGAGGGATGCTCCTGAGCCTGTAAGATCCAAAACCAGGCTCCTAAACAAGGCATCTTGGTGCTATTGACCCTTACCATCATACCATGACTAACTAGACCAGTGCTGTCAGTCAGTATTTTCTAGCCTATTTGGAGATATTCTCTGTACTGTCCTACACTGTCCAGTTCAGTAGCCAATTGAGGACTTGAGAGGTAGCAAGTAGTACTAAAGAACTGAATTTTTTATTTTTATACGTTTGTGACTCAATTAAATCTATGACACTTTATATTCCTGTTACTTTAGATTATGGCCCCAAATACTACATCATTATTTGCAATCTTTTCTCCATAATGTTTTACTACTATTCTCTCTTAATCAAAATTTTATCACTCTTCCCCTCTTTCAAGTTTTTCATTATGCTCTCTAGACTCATCTCCCACCTCTTTTTTTTTTTTTTTTTTTTTTTTTTTTTAAAAAAAAAAAAAAAAAAAAAAAAAAAAAAAAAAAAAACAGAATCCTCATCTCCCTGTCAGCAGTGTTTGGTTCTTTTAAGGTACTAATGGCCTTCGCACTCCTTCAGCATGGAGTTGCTCATTCTGTCAGGATTTAGGTAAATGCACTGGTATTCTGCTAGATGTAGTCCATCCTGTAGCTCTCAACTTACCAATCATGCCATTTGTCTACCATCCTCTAATATCCCTGCCTGCTTTGAAGTTTGTAGATATCCAGCTATTCCATACCTACACAGTCACCATTTCAGAAAGCCACCAACTTTCTACTCATGATTTTTCTTTTTTCTGGGTCTCCCTGTAGCCACAGCTAGCCTGGCACTTGCTATGTAGACCAGAGGGGCCTTGATTTCACAGAGATCCACCTACCTCTGCCTCCTGAGTGCTGGGATTAAAGACTGTGCCACCTCGCCCGACCCTACTCATGATTTCAAAGTCACTGCAAGTAAGCATGTGGTAGCTCAGTCTTTCATCAAAAGTCAACTTGAGCAATTTCCACATACACACAATTTTCACTTTAGTCACTTTTTTACTTGATTCCTGAATTCATTACTTCCTGCCACTCCCATGACCCAAACAGATCCTTGTCCAAGCAGCAACAGTCTCACAGTTATTCCCAGTATAGCTCCCCTTTGACCTCAAAGGGCCCTATAGTTCCTTGACTTTTCCTCTATCCTGTTTATAACCTTCCCTTGTCCAAAACCCAATCTTGACATCCTTACCTATTCAGTTAGGATTAAATAATCACTACTTCAACCACTTTCCTACCAAGGTCTTCAACTGCTGTACTCTTCTCTACCAGCTTTCTCACTAAACACTAACACAGAATCAACCCAACTTCATAAATCATTTATTATACAAATATTTATTGAAAGTGCTTGATATTTTTCAAGGAGATGAACTCTGAGCAGAAAATAAGAAATAATTCATCCAAGTTCACAGAGTTAAGCAAGTCAAAAGAAGGAGAACTAGAACTCCAATCTGACTCCAGATCCTAAGTATCCAGTTCTTTCTCTGCTGCACTTCTGAAACTCTTAAATTTTGACCATAACATCTTTTACTCTTAATTTTAGTAGATGATTTAATTTCCAGTATCTCAACTTCTAAGCACTAAACTGACATACATGCAAAGTTCTGTATACATCTTCTCTTCCCTCTCCCTTCTCTACTAATTCTTTAGTAGCACATCCTTTCTTATCTTCTCAGAAATCTGGATGCATTATTTCTCATCTCCTTCCACTTCAATTCCTACTAATCCTTCTGAATACTTCCCTAGACTGGCAGCTCTATTCAGACATGAACTGTTCTCATTTTATTCATAATTGGATGCTTCTTAGTAGAAACCAAAGCACAAAAACACACAGGGATGAACAATGAACAAATAACTAAGACAATATTATTCCTGTGACTTCTACCAAGTAATAGAAAAGCTTGAAAATAACTTCGATGATATAATTACACTCTAGGAAATACAAAAGGACATACCTCCAGTTCATTTTCCAGTTTCATTACTTTTGTCTTTAATTGGTTTTCTATTTTAAGAAAGACAAACGTTTCAATAAGTTAAATTTACCTGAAAATAATCAATGAAATTTGACAAAACAGTGATGTCCTTTTAAAAGATTCCATTATGATAATAAAATAATGTAAAAGAATGTAAACATTATACATGTCAGATCCATTAAAACAGGAGATTTAGAAATATCTTTTGAAATTAATTGGCTATATATACTTTGAGGAATATGCTAATTTTATGCTGCCTAATGAATACAGGGAATTATCACCACAACTCTCTCCCAAGGCATTTACCAAATTTTGCTTGTTCTTCTCCAGCCTTTTCAACTTCTTCCAAAGCTAGCTCTACTTCTTGAGCTTTCATCTAAACATCAAAAGGTTAAAGAAAATTAATTCTATATTCTCTACAATAGAATACAAGCAGTGAAAATATAATTTTTGTTTTATTTGCTAACTCAATTCTTAGTGCCTACCATGGCTAGTACATGGAGACTGTGCGTAAGTAACTGTTGAATACTTAAGGCTATGAAATCCGTATGTGCAAGTCTGAATTACCTGTGATTCTTTTTTGGTATTTACTCTTACTATTTTATATGTATGTGTTCCTGTCTGTATGTGCATCACATGTGTGCAGGCACCTGCACAGGCCAGAAGAGGGTGTTGGGTCCCCTGGAACTCCAGCTGCAGGTAGTTGTAAGCTTCCTGATGTGGGTACTGGCAACCAAACCCAGATCTTCTACAAGCACAGCAAGTCTTAACTTCTGAGCCATCTCTCCAGCCCTTGATTCTTTTTCCTTTAAATTTTATATCTATCATTTTCAATGTTTTTCGTTGTTTTCTAGTTGTCACTGTTCTAATACATAAATTTATGTCTCAATTCCTCCATGAAGTGCTGGCTGACAGCACAAATGCCTTCCAATTTGTACTACATAGCATGTGTGGTTTTACCTTCTTGCACAGATTTCAGTATCTACTAATTATGGTTCAAAAACCTTTAATGGATCCTAAAATGATACATCCTTAAGGTACTTGATAACATATTCCAACATCTGCCCAACAACTGTTTTGTCTGCAATGTGCTACAAGCTTTCTACATCTTTCCTGAAATGTAAAAACTGCATTTTGTATTTCCAATATTTATTTATGACCATCAGCAACTCTCAAATCCTCTTGACATCTCATCTATTAACTCCATGACCAAGCATTTTACATTTTTTATTTGGATCTAGCATATATCTATGCTATTTCTAAACATATTCATTCTGTCTTCCCTATACATTCATTAAGGAACTTTAGAATAAAAACTAGATTTGCTTTTCATTGTAGGATGTGCAATCCACATTAAAAGATAACTCATATTTTGAGTGGTACATTGCCAAATATTTTCATAAAAATTTTTTAGATGGGTGTGGTGGTACACGCCTTTAATCCCAGCACTTGGGAGTCAGAGGCAGGCAGACTTCTGTGAGTTCAAGGCCAGCCTGGTCTACTTAGAGAGTATCAGGTCAGCTGGGGCTGCAGGGAGAGACCCTGTCTCAAAAAGACCAAAAACAAAAACAAAGTTCATGTTGGAGAAATATGTATTCGTTATTTTTATTTTATGTGTATGTGTATTTTATGTGTATGAGTGTATTGCCTGCGTGCAGGTAAGTGCTCCTGAGTTGGGCAATGCCTGTGGAGTTCAGAAGGGGGTGTAGGTTACCCCGGAACTGGAGTCACAGATGATTGTTAGCCACCATGTGGGTGCTAGGAATTGAATGCAGCTCCTCTGTAAGAGCAGTCAGTGCTCTTAACCCCTGAGCCATCTCCCCAGCCCCATAAAAATATTTTATGCAGAAATGGATTGTTATGTTTCCTTTACTGAAACACCTAGTGCATACAAACCTTCATTAGTGACTGAGTAATTCTAAAAAGATGTATCACATTTTCTTGATCCTCATTTTTTAGCTCATTTACTTCCACCTATAAAAAAAATGAGCAAAATATAAACACACTTCCAGTTGAGGCATTCAGTGATTTTAAGGGACAATTTAAATTAATCACAATTGTATGTATGTGTGTAAGCATTATATATTAAGAACCTTGGATAAGGAAATCAGTAAGTTGTCTGCCAGTTCTTCTTGACGAGGCAGGTCGTCTGGGTCAACTTTGATTAACTCTTTCCAGTTTATATTAGGTGGCATCTTGAATTCTTTCACTGTCCTCCACTTTCTACAACAAAACAAGTGGATGTTAGCGCTCTCAAGGTAAAGAGCATTACTGTGTTTACATCATTATTATAATTCTCAAAGGTTTTGGCAAAGACCTATGGCTCCTGAATCACAAAACAGATACCGGGGCAAAACAGGTTTGATTAAACCGTCTGGTACAAACCACATGATAATGAACCCTAGAAACTATTACAGGTAACACTAAGTCGGAGCTGAGCTTCTGAGTCCCCTCCTCCAAGCACCACTATGGACAATGCGCGCATGCCAAGCTCCAGGATACCTGAAAGGCTAAAAATAAACCCCGAGATTTTTAAAGTGTTCAAATAAAGACTGAAGTGTGAGAGAAGCCGGAGGTTAATCAAGAACGAAAAGAGGTTGCGGATAAGAGGGCGAAGGATAGGGTAGGCAGGCTGCTTGCGGTTCCTTAAGATTAAGAACCTGATAAAGACTTAAGTAAGCGGCTTCCGCTCACCAGAATCCACCCACCTAGACCGAGCCTGCCAAGCAGCAGCCCTCGCTCATCTACCGCAACATCCACTCCCCGGCGCCGCCGAATCCCTGGCCGCTCCCTAGCTTAGTCCCGTCGCGCCCAGGCTCCCGCCAATTCTCCACCTTGCCAAAGCGGCTGTGGCTGCTAGGCGACGCGGTTCCCCGCCTAGCCAAGGCCGGAACTAAGCGCTCAGAAACTAGGGGCGCCTACATTTCACGACCGTGGATCATGCTTTACGGTTACTGCTACCGCCCAGGCCCGGAACTCCTTAACACACATGAATTAAAGCCGTGCGAGGACTACGCTCCAATCCAGAGTGCAGTTCGACTGTGCGGCATTGCATGCTGGGAATTAAAGTCTCTGAGACAACAAGGCGCTCCCGGCATGCCGAGCGGAAGCTGCGGCCTTCCGGGAGAAGCTGGAAAGGGACTGGGAGGAAGGAGGCGCGGCAACTGAGGCTGAAGCGCTGCGGCCCCGGCAACCAGAGCGTGGCGGACCATGACCGTGGTTTCCGTGGCGTCCCTCTACGGACAGCTCTGCCCGAGGCTTCCCTAAACCATCCCGCGGTGGATCGGCCCTTGGGTGAGGTCCGCGTCGGTGAGCGACTGGGTAGGAGCTCCGGGAGACTCCTGCCTTTAAGGAAGCTCCAGCCTTGAGGCTGAAGGGCCCGCGGGGTTCTGAGGAGGTGGGAGGGCTGCTCCTGCTGTTCTTGTGTGTGCGAGGGGCGCTTGGGCAGTGCCTGGCTTAAGAAGGAACGTCAAAAAGTTTTCTCCATCCTTAGTATTCTATCTGCCTCCGTACGGCGGAATGGGGACCGCTAGTCCCTCGGGTCCGCGCAGCCTCCTGCCCTTGCCCTCCTCCTGGAGCACATTTGTCCTGTGGATTCAGGTGCTTCTGGGGGTGAGTGCAGGCGGTGGAATGGGGATCTTAGGACCTGTCCATCGGTGCAGGAGGTGGACCGCGGAGGGCCGCCAACTGTCACTTGCGTGGTACCCGGGGGGCGGGGGTACTTAGGTGACCGCGCCTTCTCAGGTGTTTACCACCCGTATCTGGGCAAGTTGTGCCCATCCTGTGGCTATCAGCCGTGCTGGAGTGTGATGCACACCTGGTAACTTAGGAAGCTTGCAGGCTTGATATCTAAATGATGTTGCTGTTTGGACTAGTGCGTCTCGTCTTATTTTAACTACTGTAAAAACGACTGTGAAAGTACATTTTACTTTGAAGATAAGACTTATATACAAAACACGTTGTGGAGTAAAACAAGAAGTTACTCAGAAAAATATCAGCATTTAAAACATTTTAAAGACTTGTCAGATTTGTAGGATTGATTCCTGTGTTTGCTCCTTTTTTGAAAGATTGCATGTGAAATACTTATCTTTTCTGATTTATTCTTGATAGCAAATTCAATAAAATGAATGCTTGCATGATCATCATTTTCCATATAAGTCAAGAAATTGAAGCTTCCAGAGGCTAAACACTTTTCTCATTTAAATTATTGTGACTGAACACATTCTTCAGGATTCTAAAAACCAGTATTGTGAAACACTTCCACTTAAATCTTCCTGTGTAAATTTCAGTAATACTGTATTTTAACTGTATTTACACATTTTATTTTTGTAACTTTTTTACTTAAGAGTAAATTATTGTTCATGCTCTCTGTTTTGTCATAATTTTGCAGAAATGAAGCAGTATTCACTTTTATTGTGTTTACTTCTATAATCTAATATTAGGAATTTGGGTTCCATTTTTAACATACATTATTTTCTACTCACTAGCCTTGTCTCATTTGGTCTTTATACCACTTCCTATCTTTCTTGTTCACATTTGTAATCAACTCAAGGTGACTGGTCTGCTGGAAAATTATTCATTCTTCAGAAGTGAGAACATGTTCAGAGAAGCAATTTACTAGTAATTGACAAAGCTCAGACCTCAGTGACAGTCTTAACTAAAGAATAATCTTAAATTCCAGTCTCTGATTCATCTTAATGTTTTTGAGCTCATACACTCTGCTTGACATAAGAGTACAGAAGAAAAAAAAAAAGATCTCATGACCCGTGTATAGTACACTTTCTACTAAACCATGAATCAGGAAATTTAAAGTTCTGATTCTTCAGCTTACTGTGTAATTTTAAGGAAAATGGCTAAAATTTTGCATTGTTTTTTCTGCATCGGTCTTTTCCAGAAGCTGGTTTTATATGACAGCTTTGTAAGTAGCTTTGTTGCAGTAACACTTGCCTGGACCTGTCTTCTTTCTTCACAAGGCTTTTATGAAGAGTTTTATCTAACTAAAATCACCTCATGAGAAAGCCCTGCATTTTATAATTGCTACCTCTGTTCTCTGTGCCAATGGATTTGTAGTTATTACCTCCCATTCGCTGACTTACTAGGAAGCTTACTGTTCTAGTTTCTAAATAATGCATGAACATTAGGAATTTATTATCTAATGTGTGTAGTAAAAGTGTGTTTCAAGATATCTCCCCCCAGAGGGAATCAAGACTCAACACTCCTAATTTATGGAAGACACTCCATAGATTAGTAGGTGTCAGTGTGAGTGCAGACTTCCCATGTAAAAGTTTTACAAACTCCAAAATAGTAATAAATAGAGCAGGTTATTGTGGAAGAGTATATTAATCATAATAGAAAGTATATTAATCATAATGATTCTTGATTTCCCAAGAAACAGAACCAGGAGGACTTCCCTTTCCAGGCTAAGTATTTCTAGTCGTACAGATTCTTCCTGTAGTTTCATCTTTTCACAAGTATATTGTGAGATTGTTACCAAAAACTAATAATAATAATTTTATTGAAAGAATTGATGGGGGCTGGAGAGATGGCTCAGCAGTTAAGAACACTGGCTGTTCTTGCAGAAGACCCAGGTTCAAATCCCAGCACCCATATGGCAGCTAACAACTATCTATAACTCCAGTTCCAGGGGATCCGACAGCCTCTTCTGTCTTCTGTGGGCATTGCCTGACATGGGTGCACTTACCTACGTGCAGGCATAACACTTATACACATAAAATAAATAAACTAAAAAAGAATTGCATTTTTACATTTATAATATAGTTCACGAATGCTCTTAAATTAGTGGTGGATTTTGTGTACTTACATGCTGAGATCCCTTTTTTTTATAAGCAAACAAATCAGGCATCTCATTTGCTTATACAGCAGGCATGAGTGTATATGCTAGTGTGCCTACAAAAAGTTGAAGTTCTTACAACTAACAACAGCTGTCTGTCTGATTTTTACAGTAATTCCCCCAGTGCACCTTGTCTCTTAATAAAGGGTTGCTATGTAACCTCTATGTTTCTCATACTCTACCTTGGTAGTGACTCTTGATCAGATCCAAAAGTAAGGCTACAAGTGATCTCTTGACATATACTAGGACAAGTTCTCACCCTTTCATGTTATACTCTTTTGAGAAGTCTTTTATTAAAAGGCCTAGGATAACTAGGCCTTTAATAACTACTATGATATTTATTCTGGATTCTTACTCACTTTACTTGATGACATTTGAGGGGGGAAAAAAAAAGGTAGAATGGTACATGCATATAGTCCCAAAAAGGGGGCTGAGTCAGAAAGCTATTTTAAATTGAAGAATTTATTTAAAGGATTGTGACACCTGCAAGTCCAAATCAGGTAGCAGGCTGGAAACCGTCCTTTAAGATCTAATGCTACAATCTAAAGGCACAGTTTCTTTTTCAAGGAAATTTCAGTTGTGCTGTAAATGATTCACATCATTAGATAATGTCTATCCACATGTTGGAGAATAATTTTCTTAAAGTCAACTGATTATAGTTGTTTAGGTCATCTTCAAACTGCCTCCATACCAATACATAGATGACTGTGTGAGCGAATGTTGAATATTGTATTGCATACATGTAGTTCATACATAAAACTATCACCATAATCATTATGAATAGTAAGCATCTTTAAGTGTCATCCACACCATGCATATTATCTATTTATTGATAAACCTACTTAATACTTCTTAAACCCCTCATCATAGCAACTTTTAAATGATCAGTGCAAGTGAGTCCTTAATAATTACTGAAAGGAATTTAATGTGTGAGAGAGTTTTAGTACGTGTTCAAGAACTTATGTAATTCTGCCCAAGAGTGCCACCTGTGAGAGCAAGAGTAGAGAAGGGTTGTAGTTGCAAACTGACCTCAGCAAAGAAAGGCTCTAGGTATCACAAAAAGGGAGTAAGAATCCTCTAATGATGATATAATAGAAATAAGGGAAACTGATCGTGATAGTCCTCCTTAATACCTTTTTGTGTTGTTTGGTGATGCTAAGAATCGAATCAAGGGCCTCATGCCTGCTAACCAAGCACCCTACTACTGAACTACATTCCCAGCCCTTGTATGGGTTTTTGTTCCTCAGAGAACCCATGAGGGTCTTTGAATATGGTGGTCAACTATACAAATAGTTTTTTTGTCTTTCTTTCCTTTCCTTTCTGCTCCAATTTTAATGGTAAAACAAAACAACAAATGTGTGTGTTTAATAAGAACATAAAGTACCATCTGTAGAGCAAGTCATATCCCATTTGCAGTGAGCCAAGCCAACGGCAGAGGAAAATTCTCAAAGTTAAAATCAACTTTAAAAATTTTAGGATTACGTTAGAGCTAAGCAATTACTCAGTGGACCTTCTGCAACTTTACTGTATTTTTTTTTTGTATAACTGCCTAACTATATAGAACCATAGATCTATCCAGGTTCATAAACAAATACTGCATAATCTACATTCTTTAATTCTTAGAGCATAAAATTCTTGCTTTATATATAATAGGTCTTTTTTTAAAGCTATAACTCAATAAGATGACTAAAGTTCTTTAACCAGCTACATTTAAAACTTGAGGGTATTTCTCCTTCATTTAAAAGCTTTCTTAAATAGTCTTAATTTAAAGCTGCATTTATAATTTGAATGTCTTTAAGTACTTAAGTCAGGTGACTGATTTAAGCCAAACTTTGGTAGGTACATTTATGTTATTTAAAGATGGGAATGCATTCTTAGAAGCACATCATACTTAAACAACTGTGTCACTGGGCAATATAATCTTGAAGGTCCACTATTCTTTGTGTATGTAGTATGTTGATCCAAAGCCATGTATTGACTTTTATAAAGATAAAAAATTAAAGTTAAAACTATCAACTCAGATTTTTATAAAAATCCTGTCTATAGCTGGGCATGGTCTCATACTTCTTTAATTCCAGCACTCTGAAGGCAGAAGCAGGTGAATTTTTGTGAGTTAGAGACTAGTCTGGGCTACATAACAAGTTCCAGGCCAGCTGGGGTTGCAGGGCAAACCCTTCTCAAAAAAACCAAGCTAGTCTGTCTGTAGATTAGTCAGTTTAATATTTTATATTGCTGTTATCATAAATATTCTATAAGTTGTAGTTATAAAACTAATATATTGATTTACAATATGCCAGATTACCCTCTCTTAATTTAAAGTGTTTGTTTTGGTGCTGGAGAGATAGCTTAGTGGTTAAGAGCAGTGGTTGCTCTTTCAGAGGATCTGAGTTTGATTTCCAGCACCCAGTTGGTGGCTGTCATTCTGCATTTTCATGGTATCCAACACTCTCTTCTGGCTTCTGTGGGCATAACACAACATGGATACACATATACATGCAGGCCAAACACTCTTACACAATAAATAAATAAATAAATAAATAAATATTATAACTAATAAAAAAATACATTGTCATCACAAGTGAGTTGGTCTCTGCAGATCAGGGATTTGAAGCTATATTATTAAGAGAAAAGTGTCCTTACACAGCATTTATGTTTATTTAGTCTACCCAGTAATGGATACCTAATTGTTTTCAGTGTGTGTGTGTGAGAGAGAGAGAGACAGAGACAGAGACAGAAGGAAGGAGGGAGATTTTGAGATTTAAGAACATTTTGGTTCCTCATTGCACTTCATTTATATACAGCAGGTATTCTGTTGGAATTATCATTTAAGAAACTTCTAACCTGTACATTATGGACTGTTTGATAGACTTGGCTGTGGGTTTTTTTGTTTTTCCTTTTTTCTTTTCTGCATATGTCTGTGGTTGTTGCTTTTTACTGTGTTATAGTTTGAATATGAAATGTCCCCCAATATCTGATGCGTATGTGTGGAATGCTTTTTAATGCAGTGCTCAGAGGAGAGGCTTTTGGAAAATGCAAACATAAGTGCTGTACTGTAAACAGTAATTGAATGACTGTTGAAAGGTACTGAAAACTGGAAGGTGGAACCTGGCTAGAGGAATGGGTCCCCACAGGGAGTGTAGTTGAAGGATCTGTCTTACCCTTTATCCATCCTTTGTCTCTTTCCTAGCTGCCATAAGCTGAGCAGCTTTGTTTTGTCGTGCTATTCTCCCATGCCATGTACGCAAAGCAAAGCAACCAGGTATCTATTCATTGAAACTTCTGAAGCCATGACCAAAATAAATTCTACATCCCTTAAGCTGTTTACTTAAGTATTTGACTACCACATGCTAGATGATCCTGTTTATCTGTTGTTCTCCTGTTGTTTGTTTATTTGGTGAGGGGGTAGGGATTTGTCCTAATTTCGTGAGAGTAGTACATATTTTGAAATGTATTCTATTTTTCTCCTTGAATAATGTGGGTCCATTAATAAAAATTCTCTACTTTGGAAGTCATTGTCCCTTAGAAATTTGAGACACTGTTCCTTTGTGTTTTATGGGTATTTTTTTCTCTAACTTGCATCGCTGTTAGTTTAAAAAAGATTGTTTTGATTCCCGGTTTTGGTGTGAAACCTGTTTTATATTTCTGTCTTGGAATCCTCTCTGTTTCCAGCACTATCAAATTTTACAGAATTCTTTGCCCATTTAGAGAACAGAGCTGGAGGGTCTCAACATAAATTATATAGACAAACTTTTATTTAACCCTCATTTTCAGTACTGTTCCTTTCTATTCAATTGTGTCACCAAATGAGAGATCTTGCGTTTTAAGTACTTCAGAAAAGTAATCTCCAATATTTTACAGTTTCCATTGGAATAAGGGACTGTTCCTAGTCCTATTTCCAAAAATCTTTTGTAGAGGTGGTAGGGGTAAGAAATTTCAGCCTTTTCCTATCATCTTAGAAATAAATTACTTTCTTGGGCTCCAATGATTAATATACTAATCCCTTAAATTTTCTAACTTCCAAAATTTGCTGTGGTCTCTGCAGTTTTCTTTATCCATTTACGTTTGTGTCCTTGCTTTTATAAAATGCTTCTTAGTCTAGTGTCTAGTTTGGCAAGAGCTGAAGCAAATGCTCCTTCAGTCTCTCCATTCTTTTAATTAGAAGCACCATCAGCCTTTTTTATGTATTAATACGAGTGTGCAATTCCGTCCCCCTCAGAGATGGGAAGTCACTTCTGGATTCAAGATGAAGCTCTATATGCTTTTTCTTTTCATTGATAACTACTTCCTAAAGGGTGCAACTGTTTTCCTTTGTTTTGTTGGTTGGAATTTTATGTCTTTTCTTGAAGTTTAATGCAATCTATGATTGTAAATGTACTCTTGTACTCCCGTATATGTTATGCATCTCATATCCTATGTAAATTTTGTATCTGATTTAAAATCCGCCCCATGTTACTCACTTTATTGCTGGAATTTTTATTTTATTTCACATTCTTTACTGATGTGGTCAGAACTGGAGTTATGAACAGTTTGTTAACTACCATGTGGGTACTGGGAATCAACAGAATGCAGATCCTCTGTATGAGCATATAGTGCTCTTAACCCCTAAGCCAACTCTCCAGCCCCTAGAAAACTTTTCTATAAGACTAATGACAAAACTAAACAGCATCGCAGAACCTCTGATTTAGACTGTTTTGTTTTGAAACTGAGTGCACCAACTTCATACTCAGTCCATAGGTTTTCTCACAAAGACACATTGTCTCTGTACCCTTTGATGAGCCTAACCTTGACAGTTGATAGTGATTGTTCTGTCTGATTAGCTAGAGAAGAGGCCCAAAGACAAAGTGATGTGATACCCAAAAGAAGTGTAACAACACACATGAAGAAACAATTTGTGGGGATGGAGAGATGGTTCAGTGGTTAAAAACACGTGCTGTTCTTCCAGAGGACTCAGATTCGATTCCCAGAGCCTATATGGCAGCTGACAGCCATCTGTAACTCCAGTTCCAGGAATTCTTATGCTCTCTTCTGGCCTCCACAGGCATTGCACGCATGTGGTACACTTACATGCATGCAGGCAAAACACTTATACATATAAAATAAAAATAATAAAAAATTTTTAAAAAAGAAACAACTGTGCTACTCAAATTGTAATTATTTGGAAAAAGTTTTTTTCATTTTGCTTTGCTTGTTCTTTTCCCCAGCTTTGTTTATCAGTGCTTGAAGGAAAAATGGCTGATGTTAACCTCACAGAAGTAACTTTAATAGTAGGAGTGGTTGCTGCCTGCTATTGGAACAGCCTGTTTTGTGGTTTTGTTTTTGATGATGTTTCAGCAATACTGGATAATAAAGACCTACATCCATCTACACCTTTGAAAACTTTATTTCAAAATGACTTCTGGGGAACTCCTATGTCTGAGGTAAGTAGTTGCTTATTGTATAAAACATAACTTTTTTATAATAAGTCAGGCAGGAAATTACAGATATAATTATCTTAAAAGCAGGACTTGTTTCCTTGGCAATGTACCTTGACTAACCTTTTCAAAAATAATATTTGGGACTGGAGAGATGACTCAAGAGCACCAGCTGCTCTTGCAGAAAACCAAGGTTCAATTCCCAACGCCCACATGACAGCTAACAACTGTCCATAACTCCAGTTCCAGGGTTCCGATGCCCTCTTCTGACCTTGTGGGCATTGCATGACACAGGTGCATTTACATACATGCAGGCAATTCACTTGCACACTAAAATAAAAATAATAAAGTATTTTTTAAATCTGTATATAAGAATAATTTGTATATAGGAAGAGCAACAGATAATATAAATCTGTTACTTCTGTCTTGTGAGTCAGGCAAAAGATCTGATATATTTAACCCTTTCAAAACATGGTAACATCAGTATAAATAGATTAGACCTTAAAGATAAATACACATTGCTAGTTTCATTGCAGTAAGGCAAGGGTTATTAAAAATGGAAAGCCAACCAAGCAAGATGGCACATGCATTTAATTCCAACATTCAGAAGGCAGACTCTGGTATATCTGTTGAGTTTGAGAGCAGCCTGGTCTCCATTGCTAGCCAGGGCTACATAGTGAGAGCCTGTCTTAAAAATCTTTAGGGGGCTGGAGAGATGGCTAAGTGTTTAAGAAAACTGGCAGCTCTTCCAGATGACCAAGGTTCAATTCCCAACACCCACATGATGACAGACAACTATCTGTAACTCCAGTCCCAGGGAATCTGACTCCTTCTGGCCTTCACAGGCATTGCATATCACAGGTGCATGTACATACATGCAGGCAAAACATTCATATACATAAATAAATAAGTAAAATAAAATAAAAATCTCCTTAAAAAAATCATCTTGAAGGTCAGTACTACATTTAGGAGTAAACCCTTATCAAGTTGGAATCATACAGACTGGAATCTAATGCTAGCTTTGTTGTACATTAGCTACCGTGAAATAGATGTAACTACAGCTTTTAGATGGTAAATAACTTTCTTGATATATTTTTAAAAAGTGCTTGAGGATTAATAAATTTATCTATCGTGCCTGTCAAGTGGATTATGAAGATTTTTTTAACATAACGTGTAATACTTACTGTACAGTAGTTTGTTCTCAGTCATCATTTATGACAGTTCCCCATTTCCCCCAATTTAGAAGCTTCTCATATTTTCATTCCTTTAGAAATAAGCACATAATAAATACCTTCTTGATCTCATTTAATATTTTTTCTTTAAATGTGTGTGTGTGTGTGTGTGTGTGTGTGTATGTGTGTGTGTGTGTCATTTGCTTCTTAGTCCTAGCTCGATTGATACTTCCCACATTAGAGGTGTTTCTTTCTCTTTTGGGACAATCCTGTAGTTAGGTAGTACTTTTTTGATAATTTTAGTGGGTCACAATCCCAACTACACAGTAGAATGCATATGTAGCATTTTAAAATTCAGGACTAAAACTGTATACTCACATGTCACCAAGATGTGGACATCAGTATTTCAGGCCTTATTTTGGTAATGTGGATGTGGCAAGAGTTTCTCATTGTTGAGTGGGAATATTCAAGTCATCAAGTGATTCTGTGATACAGTCATGGCTGAGAACCACTGAGCTATAATGAGCCACTCATGTAGCATTTGGCCTGTAAAGTACCATGTGTTAACGTACCAGGCTTCTAAGAAGTCTTTTTGTTTGGTAGGTTCCCCCCCCCTTTTTTTTTTGCTATCCCTTTATTAAGGAACAGAGTAATGTAAGCTTATTCATTCATTCTATTCATGTCAACTATTATCATGAGTAATTAAAATTTTTTGTTAATATGGATGATTGTATTAATGCTGTGAATTATTTGACTCATAATGGACCTAGCAGTTATACTGTGTTTTCAGAGTAAACCTGGTATCTAATAAGCTGAGGGTCATTTGTTACAGTATTTAAATAGGTTTCTGATGAATTAAGATAATAAATTGGGTATAATAAACTTTTAGTTGGTAATGACCTATGACATATGTATACATAATATAGTTAAGCAGTTTATATGCTGCTATTTAAAATACATATTTCCTTTTCTAATATTTTTATTTTGTGTATATAAATGTGTTGCCGGCATGTATGTTAAGTATACCCATGTTGTGCAGTGCCCGCAGAGGTCAAAAGAGGGTGTCGGATCCCCTGGAACCGAAGTTGGGAGATTGTTATTAGCTGCTGTGTGGGTGCTGGGTATCAAACTCGGGTCCTCTGCAAGAGTAGTCAGTGCTCTTAACCTGCTAAGCCATCTCCCCAGTCCCTGTTTCTTCTTTCCAATTTTGTCCTTTCACCTGACACATGTTCCAGTGGAGCTACAGAAATACTTCAGACATTAAAAACATTACTAGTATCTTTTTTCTACCTTGTGTTGTAAATAATGTAGGTTCAACATACTGTCTTAAAAATAATTTTTATGGAGCTGATGAGATGGCTCAGCATGTAAAAGTGCTTGTCTCACAAACTTGATGACCTGAGTTAGATCCCCAAATTCTACAATGGAGGAGAACCTTCTGAAAGTTGTCTTCTGACCTCCACATGCATCGTGGCACATGCATATACACACTGATACACGTACACACATAATAATGAATTTTTGTTTTGTTTTTTTGAGACAGATCTCCCTATAGTTCAGCTGTCCTGGAACTTACAATGAAATGTAGACCAGGCTGGCCTCCATCTCACAGAGCTCTGCCTGCCCTTGCATACCGATTGCTGAGATTAAAGGAATGCACCACCATATCTGGTGAAATATTCTTTTAAATAATATTTTTATGCTGAGCATGGTGATACTTTTAATCCTAGCACTCTGGAGGCTGAAACAGGATAGCAAGTATAAGGCTAGCCTGAGTAACTTGGACTACATAGCCAGAGCCTATGCACCATCCTAGAAAAAATTAATAATAATTTATGTTTAGAGATAAAATTTGAGTTTTTATATCCATTAGCCAAGCAGGGAAACATTCTTAAACAAATAACATATTTGTTTTTTTCTCTTACTCTTTAATCATTATTTTAGTAATATATGTTTTGTTTCTCTTACTCTTTAATCATTATTTTAATAATAAAAACAACGATCCTTTTGTAATCTGAAGGACCAAGGTATTTTACTAATCAATGGTTTTATTTTTCTTTTTAGGAGAGAAGCCACAAGTCTTACAGGCCGTTAACAGTATTGACATTTCGCTTAAATTATCTACTTAGTGAACTAAAACCGATGTCCTACCATCTCCTAAACACAATTTTTCATGCTATTGTTAGTGTGATATTTCTTAAAGTCTGCAAGCTTTTTCTGGACAAGAGGAGCAGTGTGATTGCTGCTCTCCTCTTTGCAGTGCACCCGATACACACAGAAGCAGTAAGTCAAGTTAGAAATTGATTTTTTAATCTAAGTATTTGTAGACTTCTCTTAGTAGGAAAGTCTTACCTCTCTAATGCACGGTCTGTCTTCTTTATTACATAAAAAATTTTTAATTAAGTTTTTAAACATAACATTTATTCATTCAAAAACACATGTAAGGTGCTGGGAACTGGCTCACTTGGTAAAGTGATTGCCACACAAGTGTGAGGATCCGAGTTTATATCCCATCACCAATGTAAAAAGCCAAGAGTGGCAGCACACACATGTACTCCCACACTGGGAAGGTGGAGACAGGGAAGCCCTAGGGCATGGTTTGGCTAAACAGTAAGTTCCAGGTTCATTGAGAAACCCTGTCTCCAAGAAATAGGTACAGAGCAATGGAGGAAGACACCGATCATTAACCTTGGGCCTCTACATACATGCGCAACTGCACACACACAAAAGAATGTGTAATCTCTTAATGTTACTAAGAAAAATAGAAATGAACACAGTTTTTCCTATCAAGACACAGCCAAAATAATTTTTCTTGGCAACCTTGAAACTCCAAAATTTCTTTCCAGGGAAGAATTAAGTTATACACTCTGTTTAATTGCTTTCCTATATGTTTTCCTTTCTAAACAAAAGGATATGTATTTTAGAGACTGATAATGTCTCTCTTTTGCTATCCTAAATGAGGTGGTATCTGGTTGAATGATTTTCCATACATTTACAAAAGTGGTAGATTGTTTCAAATTGTACATTGAGTTCCATTGCTTTAAAAGGCAGACTTTGAAGTTTTTGTATCTTTTAATGAAAGGTACTTTTAAAGTTTGTTATATTATCAAATTTATACCTTCATATGAAGAAAACACGTTAAGAAAATATGTAGTACTTAGATTTTTTTAAAGAATTCTTCTAGATATTATATTGTAACTAAGATGTTATGTGAAACTGGGTAATGAATACAAAGAACCTCTCTAATATTTTTGCAAGATTAAAGTAATGATAAAAGAACTGTTAAAAATGGGGCTGGAGAGATGTCTCAGTGATTAAGAGCTGTTTTTCAGAGAACCAGTTTCAATTCTCAGCACCCACATGGCAGCTAACAACCATTTGTAACTGCAGTTCCAGGGAATCTGATGCCCTTTTCTGATCTCTGTAGGCATTGCATGACATATGTGCAAGAGCACTTACATACAGACAGACAATACACTCATACACATAAACTAAAAATAAGAAATAAAATATGTTTAAAAAACTTATTTTTAAATATGTTTTAAAAACTGTTAAAAGCCAAGCGTGGTGGCAGCATGCCTTTAATCCCAGCACTCGGGAGGCAGAGGCAGGCAGATCTCTGTGAGTCAAGGCCAGCCTGGTCTACATAGTGAGTTCCAGGACAGCTGGGGCTACAGGGAGACCCTGTCTCAAAAGGACAGAAAAAAAAAAAGAAGAATCACTGGTAAGTGTTCCTTTCTGAATGATACCCAAACTCACCACCTGAGGGCACTCACATGTCACAGAAAAATCTTAAAATTATAGACTTTAGTTTCTAGGTAAAGTGTTGGTATTGTTTATACATGATAAGCTTTCAAGATACTCTGTGTTAATATGAATGCTCCTCTCTGCCTTTCTTTTTCTAGGTAACGGGTGTTGTAGGAAGAGCGGAACTTTTGTCATCTATCTTTTTTCTAGCTGCATTTTTGTCATATACTAAGTCAAAGGGGCCAGATAATTCCATAGGTAAATGTCTTTTTTTTTCTATAATTATGAAGTTCAATCAAATAAGGTTTATTTTTTCCAAGTGTTTCTTATAAAATATTAAATAATATTTGGGGTTTGCTTTTATTTTTTTCCTTTACCATGTATGAAAATACAAGGCATGTAACATCAGCATTAAAATTTTTTGTAAAAACAAGTATAAATACCAATATTTCAGATATATATATATTGTGTGTGTGTGTGTGTGTGTATATGCAAACTACCATACACGGAGCTGTCAGAGGACAATGTTGGCTGTTGGTCCTCACCTTCTACCATGGGACTGATTCCCTGCTGTTTTACTACCCAAAAACCTGGGATTTGTCTCCAACTCCCAACTCTCTGTAAGAATATTGGGATTACATGCTTGTAGCCATGCCTGGCTTTGCTTGTGCTCTAGAAATTCAAACTCAGATCTTGCTTGCACAGCAAGTGCTTTACCCACAGAGCTATTCCCCAGCTTTTAGTTATCTTGGATAAGAAGAATTCATAGGCCGTGATGCTATTCAACTTTGGGGGACGGGGGGACAGGCACTGTAGACCTAAAAAATGTTTGTTGGGTTTTGAGACAAGAGTCTCACTATGCAGCCCCAACTGGAACTCCTTATGTAGACTGTCCCAGGCTGGCCTTGACCTCACAGTGATCCACCTATGTTTAATTCTGGAGTACCAGAATTAAAGGCATATACCACCACACCCAGAAAAAACAGGGCTTCTTAAATAGTAGGGTTTGGGGGGGTTTTTTTAGGGGGAATCTTTGTGAGACACAATTTCCCTGTTTCCCCCCCAACCCCCCCCAGCTGGCCTGGAACTCACTATGTACAGCACACTGGCCTCAATCTCACAGAAATCCACCTGCCTCTGCCTCCCAAGCACTGGGATTAAAGGTGTGTGTCACCATGCCCCTTATTTAAATTGTCTTAATCTTTTTTTGGTTAATGTTAAACTGAGTTTTTTCCTGCTTTCTCTCAGAGGCAGGGGTTCTCAATATAGAGTTCAAAGCACTGATAGGAATATTTTTTAACTTTAACTACACTTAATGGGAACTGGAGTTGTAGCTCAGCTGTAGTTGTATGAGTGCTTTCCTAGCAGTCAAAGGCCCTGGCACAGAATAAAACTGGACATGGTAATGCATACTTGTAATCCCAGAACTTGAGAACTGGTGGCATGAAGATCAGAAGTTCAGGTAATCCTCAACTATGATGATTGTATGAGTTGGAGACCAGCACTGAGATGGCTCAGTGGATAAGAGCACTTGCTGTCAGAGGACTTGGGTTCTGTTCCCAGCATCCACGTGATGCCTAACAACCATTAGTAACTCCAGTTCCAGGGTATCCAACACCCTCTCTGGCCTCTGCAGGCAGAGCATGCATGTGGTACCCTTACATGCAGACTCATACACATAAAATAAAAAATCCCTCCCAAGCCCATGTGACCCCTGAGGAACACATCCTCAAACGACCTTAAGAGTAAAAATAAATCTGTTTATAAGAGTCCATATGCATAGCTAAAGGCTACATAACAAGCAACAATGCCAGACAGGCAATAACTTTTTTTGAGCTGTTGGCCAGGGAGGCCAAAGGGATTCCCAGATAGTAACCCAGCATAGAACTGGGAAAATGAACAGCAGACCCCAATCTTATCCAAAGGAATATTGACAACTGATTACCACTAGATGAGAAACAGCTGACCCTCCTAAAACAAAGACCTCTAGATAGGCTGACTAGATTCACCAGAAGGGCAAGTAGTGGGGAATGCTGGGGGTGTTGACAACACAGCACACAGTAGCAGAGATATCAGAGTATAAGGGCTCTAGTGGGGGAAGGGAGGCTATGGGAGGGTGCTATCTGGGAAGTGGGTGTAAAAATAATTTTTTTTAAATGTGTCTGAAAAAAATAAATTTAAAACAAAAATTAGGGAATACATAAAATAAACTATGTATTTATGGGATAACATAGTATTTTGATGTAAATGCATAATGTATCAGGTTAAATATCCATCTCCTTAAACATTTATCACTTTTCTGTAGGAAAAGCATTCAAAATTTCTTCTAGCTTTTTGAAATACATAGTTGTTATTCATACTCACCCTACTAGACAGTATCACACTAGAACTACTTACTACTGTCTAGCTTTAATACTTAATTGTAGTACTTAGTACTCAGTTGATCAACCATTCTCCAATTCCTCTCTTCCCTCCTGCCATCCCCAGTCTCTGGTAACAACTATTATACTCACAACTTTTTTGAGAGCAACTTTTTTAGAATCCTCAGTGACTAAGATCATGTAATAATTGCCTATACAGTGATTTCCATTTCTATCTGTTGCAGCAAATAACAAGATTTAATTATTGTGTGGTAAATAGCATTCTGTTGTTCATGTGTACATTTTCTTCATACATTGATCAGATGGCACTATGTTAGTATAATTCTTTGCTATTGTGTATAGTAACACAATAAACACGAGTGCAGTTATCTTGTGGGCATACTGATGTTCCTTTTAGGAATAGGATTTCTGAATTATGCTAATTCTGTTACTTTTTTAATGTTTTATGTGTATGAGTGTATTACCTGCATGTGTATAAGTGTACCTCTGTTGTGAAATACCTGCAGAGACAGAGGAGGGCACTGAATTCCCCTGGACTGAAGTTGCAGGTGGTTGTTAGCTGCCGTGTGGGCGCTGGGAATTGAATCCAGATCCTCTGCAAGAGCAGCCAATGCTTTTAACTTCGGAGGCATCTCTCCAGCTCCTGAAACTTATTTTTTTTAGGAACTTCTATACGTGTATTCCACCATCTTGCTATTTTTTTTTCTATATTTCTGTATGGCCAGTTTCAATTCTAAATGGAGTAATATGTAACTGATTTTTTAAATTATTTTTCTTTGTGTGTGTGGTGTGTGTGTGTGCACGCGTGCATGTGCTTGCTTGCATTGTGGTAGTAATAAAACCAAGGGTTTTATGCATGCTAGGCAAGTGACAGTACTATTAAACTATTACTGCAACCCCCTTGTACTTTAATTAATAGCCATTTTTACTGGAATGAGGTGAAATTTTGGTTTGATTTGCATTTCTCTGATGGTTAGTGAAGCTAGGCATTTTTTTATACTCAGGGCCAATTCCATGTTTTCTTTTGAGAAATATCTATTTCCCATTTCTTGATTGGGTTATTTTTCATATGCATGTATCCAAGATATTCATTGTCAGTAATGTTTCTCCCATTCTGTAGCTCTGCTCTTGATTGGTGATTATTTCCTTTGCTGTGCAGAGAGCTTTCATTTTTTTGTTTTGCTTTCTTTGGTTTTTGTTTTGTTTTAGCCTGATGCAGGCCCATTTATCTCTGCTTTTTTGTTTCCTGTGCTTTTGAGTCTTAACCAAAAAAAATCTTGTCCATTCCAATGTCTGAACGTTCTTCTGTGTTTTCTTCTAACAGTTACATTGTTGACTTGATTTTTATAGCTGGCTTGTTGATAACCACTTTTGCAACACCATTTATTGAATGTTGACTCTCTTCATTGTATGGTTTTGGCACCTTTATCAAAAACCACTTGGCTGGACATGGTCTGTGCTTTCTTCTAGGTCGTGTGTTCTCTTCTGTTTTGTTTTCATGCCAGTACTTTTTTGACATAAATTAATACCATGCATGTTGGATAACTATTCCTTTGTATGTTATCTGTTTCTTACTCCATCAAGATTTCTGCAGTGCTACAATCTGGCCTTTACAACTCCCACTAACCAGATTCGTATAATAAGAAAAACAGTGGTATATCCAGACTCTTATCAAAAGGAGTCAGGAGAGGCTAAAACAGAAGTTTTAAATTTTTCTTATTCTGGGGCTGGAGAAATGGCTCAGTGGTTAAGAATCCTGACAGCTCTTGTAAAAGACCTAAGTGCGGTTCCCAGCACCTACGTGGTGGATAACAACCATCTGTAACTGCAGTTCCAGGAGATCTGATGCCCTCTTCTAACCTCTGTGGCATTGCATGACACGGGTGCACCTGTCACACATGCAGGCAATAAACTCATACACATAAAATAAAAATAATAAATTTTTTAAAATTACTTATTCTTGCCTTCTACTTTAGATGCAGTCCAATTTAACACATAAATACACCAACTTAAAATAACCTTGAATGCCAGGGAAACTTCCTGTGTTTTTCCTGTAAAAAGGTTTTTAGATGTCATATTTCCTTCTCACTTAGACTTTTCCTATGATTAATTTTTGGGGAAGGAGCCAACTTGCTATTTTATCACCATTAGATCAAAATAATATAAAACCATGTTCATTTTTTTGTACATTTATTATGCCTTTCTCATTCCCTGTTTAAAATTTTTTTGTCTTTTATTTGTACTTGAGTATTTTGCATGTATGTGTGGTAGGACACCCATGTGTGCAATGCCCTCAGAGGCCAGAAGAGGGCGCCAGATCTCCTGGATCTGGAGTTATGGATAGTTGTTAGCCATCGTGTGGGTGCTGGGGAACTGAACCCAGGTCCTCTACAAAAGCAGCCAGTACTCTTAACCACTCAGCCATCTTTCCAACCCTGTATTTTTCATTTCTAACCTCAAAACATATAGTTTACAGTTTATTTATGATTTTTTTTCTCCCTATTACTCAGTACCTTTAAATTCCAATTGGAAAGATGCTGAAACTTGCTTTAGGCCTTGTGCTCTTAACCCTGAGATAATTGTATATTAAATGACTTTGACTTGAGGCCATACTTTTATTCATCATCTTTATATTACCCATTGTATCTCGTTTTATGTTATTCTCTGCAAAATTTTTCAGTGTCTGATTTGTTTAAAGACCTTAAATTTTGGATTATTCATGCTTTAGCCATTCTTTGAAGGTTGATTCAATCTCAAGGCCTTTGCATTGTTTTAGGTTTCTGCCCAATCTTCGCTTGTAATGTAGCCAATAGCATCTCTTCCTTTGCCTTTGGTTGTTTTCCGTAACACTTATACTTTGCACCATTTGGCAAACTGTGTCACTACTTGTTTACTTAATTGCCATCTGTCCCACATTGTTCAGTGATTGAAATAAGTAATACGTGATTGCTGAAGTTATGTATCTTTTACACCTGTAGAACCCAGCTAATATTCTTAGTAAAGAAAAAAGAACACTGTAGATTTAAATGCTTATCATTAACCTGTTTCATTTTAGTTTTTACCTTTATGAGTTGTATCCCACTTCAACCAAGAGTTTCAAATTTCATGTTTTTAGTGAAGTACTGATGTAACAACATATATGGATATATAATTCTATCATATTTAGCCCTATTAATTTATTCAAACCACCCTATTTTAAAAGATAGTGTTAGATCATTTTTATCTCCAAGAAACAGGTTAGATTATGTATCTTGATATTTTGCTTTGACTATGTAAAGCAAAAAGATACAGAATTTAAATGTATCTTAAAATATGAAGTATTGCTAATGAAAAATAATTAAAATGTTGATAGTGAATTATAAGACAATTTAAAAGTGTTTTGTGACATTCAAAATTGTTCTTTATGGGTTTATTTTTTTGTCCTTCCATTGCAGTGTGGACCCCAATTGCATTAACAGTGCTCTTAGTGGCTGCAGCAACACTGTGTAAAGAACAAGGAATAACAGTTGTTGGCATTTGCTGTGTGTATGAAGTATTTGTTGCCCAAGGGGTAAGAAAAAATAGAAATTTTACTTTTCTTTGGTTTATCCTGGCTGTAATAGCTTTGTTTCAAAGCATATCGTTACATATATGTAATCATTCTGCTTGCTAATAATCATGCCAAGACTTATTTTTTTTAAAAAATGTATTTTGTCAACTTACTGGAAAACAGTTTTATGGCTTCTTATGGTTTTGTTTTGTTTGTTTTGTTTTGTTTTGTTTTGTTTTGTTTTGTTTTGTTTTGAGACAGGGTCTCCCTATAGCCCCAGCTGGCCTGGAACTTGCTGTGTACAGCAGGCTGGCCTTGAGCTCACAGAGATCTGCCTGATTCTGCCTCCTGGGTGCTAGGATTAGAAGCATGCGCCACCACACCCCAGTGGCTCCATATGTTTTTAAGGCCTGGAATCTTTAGACAGTTTGTGAAAGTATCCAGTGATACCATTCAGGCTAGTTAATTATTTACTGATTACTGAACTCAGTTTCATTCTTTACCAATTCCATAAATTGTTCTACGTGCATCTAATCTTAGATTTAAAAAGTACTGCATTATTGGAAACATGGATCGTTATTGGTTATTTAAACCTTTTTTCTTTTTCTTTTTCAGTATACTTTGCCATTATTATGTACTGTTGCTGGACAGTTTCTCCGTGGAAAGGGTAGTATTCCATTTTCTATGCTGCAGACATTAATAAAACTCATTGTCTTGATGTTCAGTACATTATTACTTGTTGTGATTAGAGTCCAGGTTATTCAGTCCCAACTTCCAGTATTTACAAGGTATGAAATTCTGGTTCCTTTTTGGATTTTCCATTCTTTATTTTTGACTTAAGGTTTTAGGCCATCATAAATGCTCCAGAAGTTCTTTAATTTATACTTAAGTTTTCAATGATTATTTCATTCTGTTTTCAAGCTCACTAATCACTCTGAATTGTCTCTTTAATTTCATCTGTTATTTCTCATCTTAAAAGTTCGTGTCATCTCTAAAAAGAGTCATATTTATACTTTTTTTTTCTAGTTAGGTATGGATCTCATACCTATAAATTTGAGCCCTTGAGAAGCAGAAACAGATTGACTCCACAGTTTGAAGCCTGCCTTGGTTACATAGCAAGTTCGAGGCCACTGGGCCCACATTGCAAGATTCTGTCTTATTTTTTAAAAAATGAGCAATACAAACAAAAAGGCTGTTCTAGTTTTAGGCAGGTTCTTGTGCACAGCTGCGCACTCAGAGCTCTTAATGTCTTCCATGTTTCTACATGTTCTGCTTTGATTTGTCATCTCCAGTTGTACATTCTATCATGTATACTATTTTTTTGATCAGTTTATATCATGTAAATTTTCTCGTTACTATGAGTTGAATTGATTACAACTGGTAATTTTCAAATGTTTATCTTTTAATTTTGCTTTTAAACTTTATTTGTGCGACCACAGTAAGCCTTAGAAGAGGAATAATTGTGTTCCACAAGATCTTTCTGGGTATTTGACCTTGGAACTAAAATATGAAAATTTCCACCCAACTTCCAAGTAACTATTTTCTGGTCAGTTTGCTATTAGGAAATTTTATATCTGATTTTTTTCAAGATATTCTTTCCTGACTTAGTTTTCCTATAACTGTGGTTAACAAGAAACTACGAACTAGATGGCTTAAAACAACAAATTGATTATCTCGTATTCAGGAGATTTTATTTGTAGTAATGTGGCACAATAACTCCGAGGAGGAACGTAGTCTATGCCTGTGTCCTAGCTTCTGGTAGTTGCTAGCAATTCTTAACATTCCTTAACTTGTTGCTTCCTCATTCTAGCTTGGTCCATCTTTCTATAACCTTCCCGGTGCATCTGTCTTCTGCTCCTTGTAAAACAGCGCTAAGTCATTGGATTTAGTGCTCAATCTAGCCTTGTATGACTTTTTCTTCAGTTAAAATCTATTACTTTATCTTAAAATATTTCTACTGCAACATTTAACCTTTTACCATTTTATCTTAATTAAGATATAAAATGAAATTTATAATAATTCCCTATCAATTTAAAATCACTGGCATTACATGTCAGAATTTTTTAAATGCACTAATGGGGCTGGAGAGATGACTCAGTGGTTTAGAGCATTGGCTGCTCTTGCAGAGGACCCAGGTTCAGTTCCCAGCACCGACATGGCAGTTGTAACTCCAGTTCCAGGGAATCTGACACCCTCTTCTGGCTTCTGTGGGGATTGCACACACATGGTGCCCTAAGTCCATGTAATATTTTACTATAACTAATTATTCTCAGCATTTTTTAAATTTAAGAAACAATTTTCAACTTGTTTAGCTTTTACTTCTGAGTCTGTTCATGTTAAACTACATTCATTCAGGTATTCGTGAAATAGATTGAATTATAGATATAGACTCTTCTCACCCCTTATTTTACATGATTTTATTCTGTCATTCTTTCTAAAGAATGTTATACACGTGTGTTTTGCATATTAATATGAGCATGTAAAAATGTGTATACATTACAGTCTGTTATATTGCCATGCAAAGTCAATTTTAATATGATTTTAATTATTTTAACGTTAACCCTTTCTTTAAATCGGGTATTCTAAATAAGTTACTAGTTGTTAAAAATGTTTGTGTTTTCTCAGAATAGGAAAAATGATAGCCTTAATTTCAACTCTACTAGTCTTCAGAAAGTTCAAGTTTTGACTTTCAAGATATATTTTCATCTATGTAGAAAGTCGATGTAAAAGTTCTTAATGATACTGTTTGTTCAAGTGTTATTTACTTTTTTACTTTTTCCTTAACCATTTCATATTTTTCAAACAAAAATCAAGCCAAATATGGTAGAGGTTGATGCTTAATTGACTTACCCATTTAAAAAACAAAGCTGGATTTTTAAAGGCTTGTTTGTAAATACGGTCATTTAATTTAGTAATTTGGATTAAAAAAAACAAAAATCTACAGCTATTGATTTTTAATATACTTGTTTTGAAAATATTTTGCTTAAGTTACAGAAAATAGACTATAGAAATAAAGTACATATTATCATAACTTGGACAAAAACTAAGTAGGAACATGTTAATATTTACTAAGAGTAAAAAAGGAAAAATGAAGGAAAGGTCTAAGTGATGTGATGAATGAATGAAATGGATAGCGAAAGGAATGTAATGAAAGGACAAAGGCAAATTCTTCATAGGAACCATAATTTTTATTAGTATTTAGTTCTAAAAACTGTCTCATGGGAAAACATTGTTAGATGTTCTAGAATCTTCCATATAGCAAATACAGCAATGATTCTTATATAGCTTTTTTTTATCACTTTTAATTATGTCTTAATTTAATGGAAGTAGTTCTCCAGAGTACCATAATATTATGCAAGTCTGGATTCTTCCAGTAATTGCTAAAAAGAGATGACCTGCTTGGTCTTTAAGCAGTTCTCTGTAAATGTCACTTCTCTCACTAGACATTTAGGTTACTCAGTTTGATAGAGACAGCAGAGTCTGAAATACCTACAAAATATATTTGTCCTTTTTTAAAAAAAATTATTTGTGAGTGTGTGCATGTGTGTGTGCATGTTTGTGTGTGTGTGTGTGTGTGTGTGTGTATGTGTATGCATGCGCTTCATGCCTGCAGGTGTCCACAGAGGCCAGAACATGTCAGAGCCACTAGACCTAGAGTTACAGGCAGTTGTAACTGACTGACATGGGTGCTAGGAACCAAACTCAGGTCCTAAGGAAGAGCAACAAGTATTCTAACTGCTGCACCATCTCTCTAGCCCAATATAGTTGTTCTTTTATGTAATACTATTAGAACATACTTTTAAATTTTGCTCTCATTGAATGTGCGCTTACATATTTAATATATAAAATTTGTATTTTAAAAGTGGGGTTTAGGGCTAGTAAGATGTCTTAGTAGATAAAGGCACTTGCCACCAAGACTTACAACCTAAATTTGATCCCCAGGACCTACATGGTAGAAGGTGAGAACTGATTCCTATAAGCTGTGTTCTGACTTTCCCACCTGTGCTGTGGCACATGCATGCCTACACACATCACACACACATGCATGTGTGCACTAATGAAAAATGTTTTTGAGCCCACAAAATTTAAAAGATGGAGTTTTGTTTTCTTTTGTGTTTGCTGTGCATATAGTAATCTCTATTTGAAGAGCTAAGGCAGAAAAAGCATGAGTCCAAGCCTAACATGAGTTATGTAAGGAGTAATTTTCTCAAGAAACCAAGGGCAAGGGCCTGGAGAGTTTACTCTGACATTAAGAGCGCTGGTCCTGCAGAGGACCCAGGTTCAATTCCCAACACCCCCATGGCGGCTAACAACTGTTTGTAACTCCAGGTCCAGCGGATCCAATGCCCTTTTCCAGCCTATGCTGGCATTGCACATCAGAGTGCACTTACATACGTGCAGGCAATACACTCATACACAAAAATAAATAAAATATTTTTTTGAAAAAAGAAACTAAGGGCCAAGATATAGCTCAGTAGCAGAATGCTAGTCTGTCATATAGTGCTGGTCTTTCACCAGCATTGGAGAAAAGTTTCATTAAATATCTTTTTTTGTTGTTCTTTATACAGGTTTGATAATCCAGCTGCTGTAAGCCCAACCCCTACAAGACAGCTAACTTTTAACTACCTCCTTCCTGTGAATGCTTGGCTACTATTAAATCCTTCAGAACTCTGTTGTGATTGGACCATGGGAACAATACCACTTATAGAATCGTTTCTAGATATTCGAAATCTTGCCACTTTTGCTTTCTTTTGCTTTTTGGGGACTTTGGGAATGTTCAGTCTCCGATACCCTGGTGATTCCTCCAAGACTGTCTTAATGGTAAGAAGCCTTAGCTTTTCAAATAATGTTGCATTTGGTTAGTTAAGTACGAAACTGTCTTTAATTTTTCCAAAGCTTGTTTCTAGAAATGTATTTTTTGTTCATCATTTCCAATTTATGAATTTATGTTAGATTATGCTAAAGTGATCTATCAGAATTTGTAGGTGTATACACATTCAACAGTATAAAATGGTAGCTCATAATTTTCTAATAGAAACTAATCACGAAGCATCCCTTTTGTATTCATTTTTTTCTTACATATTTTAGTTTTATCTGGGTTATAGGCATTTGAAAACATGGATTGTATTGTATTCTTGTTTCACTGGCATTGAGAACAGTGTGAAATATGCAGCTAAAAATGCATATCTTAAGTTGTCATTAGCAAGATTTCAATTACTTGCTAAGGTAGCAAGTATATGTCCAGAGACCAAGAATTATTTCTTTTTTTTTTTTTTTTTTTTTTTTTTTTTTTTTTTTAACACCGTTTTTATTTTGTCTTTTTCAAACAGAGTCTTCCTGTAGCCCCAAGCTGGCCTGGAACTAGCTATGTACACCAAGCTGACCTTAATCTCAAAGATCTGCCTGCTGAGATTAAAGGTGTGCACCATCACGCCTAGCATGAGCCCCCTAAACTAGCATATTCATTCAGTAGACATTTCTGGTTGCAGCCGGTGTTCCTGACAGCATTTGAGGCACTGATTATGTTAATCATCCTTATTTCCAAAGAGTTTGTAATCTAGAGAAATTTAAGGCAAATGTCTAAGATACAGAAAAGATTCAAAAAATACAGGGTTTGGGGAAAAGATGTGCTTATTTATTTTTTAATCATTGCAACAACCTTTTTTTAAATATTGAAGTTTTGTGTATTTCATACAGAAAATCTTTATACCTTCTTCGCCTTTGGCACTTTCCCACTAGAGTTCATACATTCTGTCATTTGTGTTAAGACCTATCATGTAAAGTTAGTGTCCCCAGAAGTCCCTCAGTGCAAGTTCATCCACTGGGATCGAGTCAGCCTATCTAGAGTCCCTCTATTTAAGATCAGCTCTTCCTTACCCAGCATGGCTAAGATGCAGAAAGATTAAAAAAAATAGAGGGTTAGGAAAAGATATGTTTAATTGTTGGACATGCTAAGTTTCTATCTTTGAAACTTTTTTTTTTTTCTTTTTTTGGTCTTTTTCAGACAGGGTCTCCCTGTAGCCCCAGCTATCCTGGAACTCACTATGTAGACCAGGCTGGCCTTGAACTCACAGAGATCTGCCTGCCTCTGCCTCCCCAGTGCTGGGATTAAAGGCGTGCACCACCATGCCCGGCTTGACGGAGATTTACAACAGCACTTTGAAGGTCAGAAGAAATGCCTAGTCTGCACTTAGAATTTTTATTCCTTAATCTAGATGTAGTAAATGAAACCAGGATTTTGATAAGGTGGCAAATGGGTTATTTAAGTATCTATAATGTAAACTGAATAAAGAATAGTTTCTGAATCAGGCATGGTGGTGTATGCCTTTAATCCGAGCACTCAGGAGACAGAGGCAGGCAGATCTTTGTGAGATCAAGGCCAGCCTTATCTACATAGCAAGTTCCAGGCCAGCTGGGGCTACAAGGAGACCCTGTCTCAAAAAGACTAAAAAGAGAAAATAGTTCCAATGAAATGAACATAGATTTATATAATGTATTACTTTATACATGTAAAAGTAACAATTATAACCTTTTGCCTAACTGGTTTAGGTATAGTCTAAGACATGAGTAGAGCAAGAAAGCAACAACCAAGGGCAGATACTAAGCTATTAAATATATTTCAACATAATATAAGCAGTTTTTAGTTCCCATTTTATTTGTAAAAAAATGTTCTCATAGTGATTGAATAGTTTACCTTATATTACACAAAATTTAAGTGAGACAGATTTGTTAAAGCCTTAGTTCTCTTTCCTCTAACATCCTTCTTTTTAAAGACAGTTTATATTATTAGAAGAAGGAATTATAGGTTAATCATAGTTAACAAAATTGGAATACATTAATTAGGACTTCATTAATTAGAATTTCTAAGTAATTAATCATTACAAACTCTCCTTAGAACCAATAGACTTCCTGAGATTTTTTTCTTTTGTATAGCATAGTCATGACTATGATGCATTTTTGAATGAATTGAAGCCTGTTAATTTCCTGAAATTTAATTGCTTTAAGACAATCATAAATTGTTTAATGAACTACAGATTTAGGATTGTTTGCATCTAAATAGTTTTACATCTAGCTAGTTCTTTTTTAATCAAGTATCTCTAGGAAATGAGAAGTAAAATATTTTTATCCTTAATGTTTGATGTTTTGATATTTTTTTAAAGTGAAATTTTAAGATATAAATTGCTATAATACTGAGTAGTTAATGGTAATTTTTTCCTCAGATTCAATATTACCTCAATACAAATCATAAATATGTCAAGATTTGTGGAGAATATTGTATTTCTAAAGTATATACATCTCATCATCTATATTTCATTAATAAAATGTAAGAAAGTTTACTTACTTCCCTTCAACCCATTAGAAGTTTCAAATTTCTTAAGCTGTGGAATTTTCTTGCTTATTCAAGTATGTACTATAAATAACAGAGCAGAGAGGGCTGGGGATGTGGCTCAATTGGTAGAATGCTTGCCTGATTTGGCATGCACCAGGCCCTAGGTTTGATCCACACTACATGTGACCAGGCATGGTAGTACAAACTTGTAGTCCAGCACTCCAGAAGTGGAGGCAGGAGGATCAGAAGTTGAAAGTAACCCATGACTACATAGGAAGGTGTAGTCCAGCCTTCACAACATGACAATCTGTCTTAAAAACAGATAAATTGCTCAGATGATGGTGGCTTTAATCCCAACACTAGGGAAGCTGGTGAATCTCCTGAGAGCTTGAGAGTTCCAGGCCAGCCAGTGCTATATAATGAGACCCTGTCTCAGAAAAGAAAAAAAGAACAACAACAAAAAGACAAAGAGTAAGGTAAACAAAATGCCCATAGTTACAGGTCCTAATATGATCAAACTTAAATCCTCTCATTTATATGCTAGTTATTTGTTGCTTTACAGTCAAGAAACCACATTATCCCATTATCTAAAGGACAATAAAACTAAGAATTTTTATACTTTTTCTGTATGCAGTGTTAAAATTTTAGTAGTATCTTTAAAGAATAAGAAGCTATTGTTTTAAAGTATTATTTTTATTTTTGTATGTGTATTAAAAATCTTTAGTTAAATATTTGTAATTGTTTACAGTGTTATACAATGTAGTGCTAAGCTGTAGAACCAGATATCTTATCTGAGCCATGTCTTATTTCATACCTTCAATTTCCAATATCATGGCTTCTTGCAGTAAAGTTTAAGAAACAAACATTTTTATCTGTTAAAACCTTTGTGGTTTTGTTGAAAAACCTGTGAATATTTTTTTTTCATCACCTTTTTTTTTATATATATATACAAAAGTTAGGTGGGTAACACTTTTTTTAACTTGATTATTCCTGTGTAACCAAAGGTTTTTGTTCGTTGACTAACATTTCCCTAGACTTTCCTCCCTCACTCTGGTAAACACCATTGTATTCTTTTTCTGATATCAATACATTTTATAGTTCACATACAAGTGAAGTCATGTGATAACTATTTCTATGCCTTGCTTATGTCATAGGACATAATGTCCTTAATATTTTTCCATGTTGCAAATGACAAGAGCTTCTTCTCCTTTAAAGCTAAGTAGGATTTCATTGTGCATATATGCCCTGCTTTCCTTACCTGTCCATTCACTTGTAGATACTAAATTGGTTCCATTTCCTGGCTCTTCTCAATCATGGTACAATAAATCCGGAAGTACAGATATATTAAAATATATTGATTTCCTTTCTTGGTGGGATCTCTGGATTGTGTGGTACCCCTAGTTTTAATATTTTTATCAATTTCTATACTGTTTTCTGCAATAGATTTACTAATTCAGTTCCCACCAGTAATAAGTGCCTTGATTCACTTTTTTTCACAATCTTATTAATACTTGTTTTCTATTGTCTTTCTGATAATAGCCATTCTAACTGGTGAGGTGGCGTTCATTAAAATCTAATTTTTATTTTTCTGATAACTAGTGATGTGTAGGTTATTTTTTCATACAGCTTTTAGTCATTTGTATGTCTTCTCTACTTGTTTCTTAATTGATTGTTTGCTTACTGTTAAGTTGAATGTGTACTTTTCAGTCTTAGAAAACTCATTTTTAATGCTGGATGGTCTGTGGTAATCAATTTTCACTTAAAATTTTAAGTATTTATCTTTTTTAATCTTATACAAGTGTTTATATTATAGAAAAAGTGAAGTAGTGAAGTGTTACTAATTATATTTTTCATTTTTACAACATTGTAATGTTCAAAAAAAATCTTTTCTTCTTATCTTGCTTATTTTTGTCTTGGTGTTTATTACTACCCCTGAGCTCCCTTCATGTTTACATTACTCTTATTAATATTAACTAAACCACAAATTCATTTATTTAAAGTAATTTATAAAAGTTTGGATTTCATTGTCACCTATGTATTTCTTAATGTAACATACTATCTTTTTTCCTTCTAGGCACTTTGCTTGATGGCATTACCATTTATTCCTGCATCAAACCTATTTTTCCCGGTTGGATTTGTTGTTGCTGAGCGGGTACTGTATGTTCCTAGTATGGGGTTCTGTATTTTAGTAGCTCATGGATGGAAAAAAATTTCAAATAAGAGGTAAATTAAATGCGAATTTATTTAACCCTTACTAACTGTAGAATTAAATGCATTGATATTTTAAGTCTGTATTTAGTTCAGTTTTATAAGCCATACTGGAGTGTTACCATGCCACATTACAATTAACTTAAATAAAACAGTCTGACTCTTAATTCAGTTTTTAAGAATGGGCCTGAATTTAGAAGATACCCATTCCCTCAGATGTCTCTTGGAATTGTCCTAAAACTGTGTTCCTGAGTCAGGAACCCATACCTCACCCATAATTTTTTCCAAACAGTTTTTCCAGCTCATGGAGAAGTACAAGCTAGAATCCACCCTTATCAAACAATCTTGCGTTTTCATCCCTAGTTCTAGAATATCTCATATAGAGAATGTCAGGCATTCTTTCTCAGTCTTCATGGTTTTAATAAAGATAGACATTCTGCCTTTCGGCACTTTGATGCATTAATTCTCAAGCATACCCACTTCATTTATTATGTTTTTGGGTGAAGTAACAAAATGTCGTTCCCAGGAAATAAGATCATGTGCCCAGGTCAAAAGAGCACATGGTTCCGTGAGTTTGCCAAGGTTCATTAAAAGTCCTTAGTCTAGATTATGTCTTTTGTAAACATCATGCCTACATCATACTTTCGTGTCTTGACAGCTTCTCCACTTGCCTGTAATTCACCTTAGAAAAGCTCTGCAGCACTTACTCATTCTGTGTTCTCATTTTTATATAATTTTATATTATAGCCTGAGACAAAACAAACTTTGAGTCAGATTCAAATGAAAACAACTATATTACTAAAACTAAAGTCACAAATGACTTTATTTCACTTTCATATGCAATGATTAAGATATAATCCTTTTAATTGAGTCATATTGAGTTTTCAGTATATATAAAGTGAATATGTCAAGCACTTATAATTTCCTGCTGTCGCTTTCTTCATATAAAATAATGCAGGCTTCTATTGTTTTAACAGTTAAGGAACAATATGATTAGAAACTATCATAATCATAGGTATTATGACATGATATACATTTGCTATGTTAGTAAAATTGTCAAGCATATTTCTACTGAAAAAGTAACGTAAAAATTAGATTTACAGCTGACTTTTCTACATCTCTCTTAACATATATTGCGAATTGCTTCATAACTATATCTAGTCAATATTTTTATTTTGAATTTATTTCCTGGGGTTGGAGAGATGGCTCCGCAGTTAAGAACACTGAATGTTCTTGCAGAATACCCAAGTTCGAATCCCAGTGCCCACATGGCAGCTAAGAACTGTCTATAACTCCAGTTCTAGGGGATCTGACAAGCTTCTTCTGTCCTCCGTGGGCATTGCATGACACGGGTGCAATTACCTACATGCAGGCAATACACACATACACATAAAAAATAAAAATAATAAATTTATATATAAAATTTGTTTCCAGCTGAATGTGGTGGGCACACACCTTTAATCCCATCACTCAAGAGGCAAAGGCAGGCAAATTATGAGATTGAGTCTAGGCTGCCCTACATAATGAGTTCCAAGCCAGCTGTGGCTAGGAGACATTGTCTCAACCCATCCCCCAAAATTAAAAATAATTTATTTTCATGGTTTCTGTAAAAAAAAAAAAATCTCCCTCTTAATTATCTCCTATGTAATTGCTATTCAGAATCTTCTTGGTGTAGCTGCCCTTTGAATATTTCTGGTTTTTTTCTGGAGTTTTGCTAATAGCCTTTTGTGACACACTACATGTGTTCATTTAATCTTAACACACCAGAACTATTTTGCACATGTGAAAATTGAAGCTCATACAGTTTACCCGAATTGCTCATGGTCATAGAACTAATAAACAGCAGTGTTGATTCCAGTTTACATCTAACTTCTTTCATACTCCTGTTCTATCTGATCCATATTCTCTCGTTCAACATGGTGAGACTATCAAGATGCAAGATGAACTATGTTATAGTTGCAAAACTCAGACTAGGAGAATATAAACACTGAGATAACAGATTATTGAAATCATTATTTTCTAAGTGAAGAGTTAGAGCTCAAAGAATTTGCCTAAAGTTTTATAATTCTGTTTTTATAGAGTTTTCATTGAGTCTAGACACAGCTTTTGAAATAGAAGTGAACATATTAGAATATGCTGTCAACCTTCTTGTCCTCGGGTACTGATTTGCTGACTCAGTCACAGAACCAATATGTTGGGGAAAACATCTGCATTAAATATGTGTAGATTTTTATGTGATTGTTCTCTAAACAATGAAGTATTAACAAGTATCTTTACATAATTGTTAGGTATTAGAAGTTATCTAAAGATTGTTTAAATCCCATGTAGTATACAAATACTACATCATCCTATATAAGGGATTTGAGCATTCTCATACTTCCATGTTCTGTGGGAATTTGATGAATCCAAAAATTCATCCTGAATCCTTGAACAAATTCCAGGGAATGATTTAAATATAAGTGAAGTATCCAGTTAATATCTCATTTGAAGGAGGGGGTGTTGTACCCTCTAAAGCTGGACAGTCATTAGAATGAATTCAAGTATGGTACTTTGGAATGTTTAAAAATCTCTTACCTATACTCAAAAACGTAAAATGATTTTGGTGATGTTGACAGTATTTTTTTTTAATCTTTTAAACAGTGTATTAAAAAAGCTATCCTGGGTTTGTTTGTCCATGATGATACTAACCCATGCCTTAAAAACACTGCACAGAAATTGGGATTGGGAGTCTGAATATACATTGTTTATGTCAGCCTTGAAGGTAAGGTATTATTCACAATGGCAGGAAAGTATATCATTGTCATTTCCTAAGACATTGTACTTTACTCTTAGACAACAAGCATTTTACTGTCCATATTAACTACTTTAATAAAATTTTAGTGAGGATAAATTATTATTTTTTGATATTAGCCAAAAAGCAATAGATTTTTCTTTATATAATGTATACTATAAACAAACTGTAAATATTACATTTATCTTTGTGTCTCGATCATATATACACAAATAGCTCTCTGAGTGCTCTACAATTATTTGAAGTTAACATGGAAAAATAATTAAATACAAAACTATTTTATTGGTTCGTAGGGTACACATTTTTTACCTTTTAATGTCTAAAATCGGGGTAAGTCTTCCAGGAAAGGACATCTCACACAGTGAATTACCTTTTTTTTTTTCCTTAATGATAAAGTAATGGTTAGCTATATAATTAATGCATCTTAAATGTGTTGAAATGCACAACAGGGACTGGAGAGATGGCTCAGTGGTTAAGAACACTGGGTATTCTTGCAGAAGACCTGGGTTCAAATCCCAGCACCCACATGGCAGCTAACAACTGTCTGTAACTCCAGTTCCAGAGGATCTGACACCTTCTGACCTCTGTGTACATTATACGACACAGCAGGTGTACTTGCATATGCACATGCAGGCAATACATGCATACACATAAAAATAAGAAATTTTTTTTAATGCACAATAAAATGTTATCCTACTATGTGAAAGATTACCGGTGTTAAATAGCTCTATGGAAAACAAAACAAGTAGTCAGAAATTAGTCTTTAAAAACACACATTTTCTTTTAATTACCAGATTTTTTTCCCAACCTCTCCCTCTGTCTTACCCTTTACAATTTCCTTTTGACTGTTTCTTCCTGTTTTAAGGAAGTATGTGTGTGGTTATGTGCACATGAGTGCAGGTGCCCATGGAAGTCAGAAGCGTGAGATCCCCCTGGAACTGGAGTTACAGACCGTTGTGAACTGCCCAGTTTGGGTGCTGGAACCAAATTCTGGTCCTCTACAATACCAGTATATGCTTTTAACTACTGAGCCATCTCTGCAGCCCTCCTTTTGACTTATTTCTTCACTTTCCATTGCTTAGCTGTGTTGAAATATCTGCCTCATTCTAAGATCTGTGATATCTTGATTTAACACCTATTTAAGAACAGATGACTCTCCTTGTACTTCTGCTTTCCCTCCTAGCTGTATAGATAAGGAAAGCCTCATTACCATGTTTGTTAATCCATAATTTTGGATACCAGTGGTACTTCGTAATTACTGGGAATTTTGCTTGTCCTCACTCTCGGGTCAGTGGTTATCTACCTATACCCCTATTTTTTAGCTGTGTAACTTGCTCTACCCTTTTTAAAACAAAATGCATGCATGGATTCAGCATTTCTACTACCAAAATAGACTAGTTAAATAACTTTAAATATGTCTGTTCTAAAAATACAACCCCTAAACATATTCTTAGATTTTGGTACTTTTTCTCCTAAATAAAATACAAATTGTACAGCATCAGTTTTCAGAAAGCATTGTGCTTTAATTGAATAAAAATTTGCTACAGTTCTGATACATAAATGGATGAAATCAGACTGCTGTGGTTTTAGTATGTTAGAGGAAAGGGATAGTACATAAGCTTCTTAGTTATGTTCTATTTCCACCAGTATACAAACAAGTATCTGTGGGCTGGAGTTGGGGTTTTTTGTTTATGTTTTTTAATTACAGTAAATTCTGTTTTCCTTTGTATTTAAGGTGAATAAAAACAATGCCAAATTATGGAATAATGTGGGTCATGCTCTGGAAAATGAGAAGAACTTTGAGAGAGCTTTAAAATACTTTTTACAGGCTACCCATGTTCAACCAGGTGAGCACTATTAATTAGTAAGTTGATGCCTAAGATGTTTGATTAAAATTGTAGTTGTTGAATGAGTACTAATGTGTACTTTAGGTAGAATGAGAGGTACACAGTTGGCAAAACTGAGTTTAAGGGAGAAGGGGAACACTTATTAAGACAGCATAGAAAATTGTAGTATAGGGTATTGAGAAGTGAAGGTGGTGCTAGGTACATAGATTTTTTTTTTTTTTTTTTTAAGTTTTAAGGTAGGAGAAACAATGTTCCAAGTATATTCAGTATAGTTGAGAAAAAAATAATAATGTAGGGTGTGGTTTAGATGAATACAGTGTACAGACTATATACATTTATAGAACCAAAGTTAAATTGTGGTAACAGGCATAGTATGACAGTAGATAGCAGCAGATGAATGAAGAATGTGGAGGAAGCTTCTGGAGTTGCCTTTTTACTTCTGTTTCCTCAGTGAAAGAGTAAAATCACTAATAGAGAGTAAAAGGGAAGAATTGGTTGACATGTGAACAAGAGAATATGAAATGGTCATATTAAGATAGTACTTCATGGGGCTGGAGAAATGGCTCAGCAGTTAAGAACACTAGTTGTTCTTGCAGAAGACCAGGGTTCGAATCCCAGCATCCACATCTGTCTGTAACCCCAGTTCCAGGAGATCCGACAGCCTCTTCTGACCTCCGCAGGCATTGTGTGTACACGTAGGCAATACATGCGTACACATAAAATAAAAATAATAAATTTTTTTAAGTACTTCATAAATTTCATTGTGCAAAAGGAAATCACCTGAAGAGCTTGCTACATTCTGGTATATATTCTCGTGCACACTGAGATTTAGCGATAGGAGATTTAGGTCTCATTGGAGATCTTCCTATATTCTGTTGTATATTCTGGTACAGAATTAGGTATGACCTGAAATTTTACATTTCTGACAAACTACCAGGTGATACTTACTCCTCATGTCACATTCAGAGAAGCAAAGATCTGAGATACTAGGCAAGTATTTGGACTAGAAAAATAGTTGCCAAACTGGACTAACACCCTACATGAGATAGTAATAGCTAAAATCAATTAATATGGTTAATATTTTTTCTAATTACTTTCCAGCCATGGCAGTGATTTGTAGGCATGAATTAGTTAATCATGATTGAATTTTTTTTCAGATGTGTTTACTAAGGAAAAAAAGAATAAGGGAGTGATTATAATGAAAGTGATTATAATCTAAATTGATGTAGAAGGGATGTGAGAAAGGGAGAGTGATGGAGAAAAGGTGACAGGATCACAAGATGTGTCTGAAGAATCGTTCTTGTCTTTGTGTAGAGTATAATTAATGCAGCAATCGTTTTTGGTAGAGGGTGCTACTGGCGTTTCATGTATGTAGAATTGTATTAACATGTTGTGTCCAACTAGCAATACCATCAAAGACTGCCATTACTTTTCATTCAGAGACAACGAAACTGAAGCCTCACACACTAAATATCCTGTGAAGGGTGCACAGTCATGGTCACCGCCTCATTTCCTCTAGTTAGTAGAGCTGTATCCAATGAACTCACTGTTAAGGTGGGGTGAGGTGAAATTCATTAAAGGAAAGAACATCATGGCCACAATGTTAGAAGATTATATGTATATAGATTTTTTAAAAATTAAAGAATTTTGACAGCTGTGATATTGGAGAAAGCCATAGAGAAAGACAGGATCCATGATCTAAATATTGGAAACTGCAGCAAGGAGATATAGTGACTCATCAGAAATGATTTGTGATTGTTTTTTGGTATTTTTGAGACAGGGTCTCCCTGTAGCCCCAGCTGGCCTAGAACTCACTATGTAGACTAGGCTAGCCTCGGACTCACAGAGATCCACTTGCCTCTGCCTCCTGAGTGCTGGGATTAAAGACATGCACCACCACACCCAGCCTATGAGTGTTTTTTTGTTTTGGGGGGGTTTGGTTTTTTTTTTTTAATTTTCATTTTATGTATATGTCTGTATTGCCTGCATGTAGGTAAGTGCACCCATGTCATGCAGTGCCATCGAACTGGAGTTATGGGTAATTGTTAGGTGCCATGTGGGTGCTGGGATTCAAACCCAGGTCTTCTGCTAGACACTGTTCTTAAATGCTGAGTGCCGGTGCCAGCTGGCCAAGACGGACAGTACCTGAAAGGGGGAGTGAGGATTGAACGAAAGAAAAAGAGACAGAAAAGATACTTGGGAGGACTGACAGTAAATACTGCAGCCTCGGTTTATTTCAGCTCCACCTTTTTTGGGGGGAAAGAACTCAATTAGTTTCAACAGCTGTTTTTCCCCACCTGTATCTGAGGGTCAAGGAGCAGTCAGATCAAAGGCTTCTTTGATCTTTTTGTTTTCCACTGTTGCCTCCAGGTCAGGTATTGTGAGGCTCTCCATATAAACACATTCCTCCTGAATAGGCAGATTAGGTAGTGATATGCATAACACAAACTCAGTAAACAAGGCTGCTACAGCTCAATGCACATAATAGACAAACAGCTCCCTACAGCTGAGCCATCTCTTTAGTTTTTAAGTCTGGAAATAGAACAGGGATCAAGGATGATATCTACTCTTCCTCCACGTCTAGCTTTCAAACTGGTGGTCACAGTCACCACCAGTAAGAGATGTCTCCAAGACAAAAATAAATTTCAATTAGAAAAATTGGTGAGTAGGCTATAGAAATGTATTGAGCTATTGTAGATCTCCTTTCATGATGGTTAGCTTTTCCTGGACTATGGCATTTGAATCCTGTCTCCTCTTTGATGTGTGTGTTCTTCTTGAGCATAGGTTTGATTCTTTCTCCTCCCTTCCATCTTCTCCCCTATTATATTCTGGTTATATAAACTAGTCATCTTTTCTAACTCCCGGGGGTTTGAGCCAGCGACACCTGCGGAGTGATGATTGAGGATGAGTAAACACACCATTCCCCAGCCCACGCCCAGTACTGGGGACACTCAGACACAACAGGGAGTCTAGTCAAGCAGGGACTCATTTATTGCAGGTGTTACAGAGCTTATAAAGGCACCTGGAACTCCCCCCTCCCCGCTGAGGGTATATCTTAAGGGTGGTCACGCACTGATCATGCACTCCTCAGCAGTGCTGAAGTATTCTTCAGACTTTCAAAGCAAGCCAGGCCGCGCCCCCAGTAACTTCCTTTCAGACCAATGCAAGGTGGGGCCTTTAGGTCCCCACATATAACCAACTATATATGGCTTCTCTTCAAAACATCTTCCTTTCTAGCTCAATGCAAGCATTATTAACTTGCACATCCCTTCATTTTTCTTTTGTACCTTTCCTGAGATATGTATATGATAGATATATAGCTATATGATGTATATCATACACATCTATATGACATACATCATATACATCTATATGATATATATTTATAATGTTGCATTTACAAATTTAGGTCATAATTTATTTGAAATAATGATTTATTTACAATGTGGAGCCTCTTTGGGACAGCTTAAACATTGATTCATCTTCTAACCCTACAACATCTTATTGGATCCTGCACACAGGCAAGAGTCATTAAATGAGCAATTCTAACTCATTTCTTTCATTCTCGGAGGTTTTCTCGTTTTAAATTTTTATATTTTTTTTATTTATTGTGTGTATAGGGGCATATATATGCGTATATGTGCACACACGTGAAAGTCAGAGGACAACACAGAAGAGTCTGTTTTCTCCTTCAGTCATGAGTCCTGGGGAATGAATTCAGGGCATCAAGCTTGGTGGCAGGCACCTTTACCTGCTGGCCCATCTTGTGGACTCAAGTTATTATTTTAGGACTGGCTTTGAGACGTAAGATTTAGGCCTCTCATTCTGACATTCTCACTTCTAAATTGGAATGGTAATTTCTGTTTCACAGCATTGTTGTAAAAACTAAATCAAGAGTGAATATATTTATACACGATCAGTTTTATTGCCTGGATAATGTGTCTTATCACAGAATGCTGCAAGTGTAAAAGCTCAACCTTAAGTAATTTTTTCCTCATCTTCAGTTTTCACCTATTACTATTTCTAACATATTTCCTGGCTCTATCTTGAGTATGGCTTCACTATCTACACCTTCAAGATTTGTTTTTAATAAATCATAAGCTAGGAAGACAGATAACCAACTTTATTACAATGTCATTTATAAATGTATTTTAAAGCAATGTTCATTGATAAATTTGACAGGTGAAGTGACATGTTATTATACTATATTATTATATTATATACTATACTAACGTCTAATAAGATATGAGAGAAGGAAACAGAATATCCAGTGTAAGCTAAAATGAAACATATTGTTTGATGATTAAAAGCTTAGTCTCTGAAACCCTTTATAGTCCTATAATGCCAGCCCTTAGGAACCTGAGGTAGAACGATCAAGAATTTGAGGCTTGTGGTGCTAGGAGATGGCTCAGTGTTTACTGTAAAAGGACCTGCTGTCAAGCTTGACTGCCTGAATTCAGTCCACATAGTGGAAGGATAGAGCCACGTGTGTACTCCCACAAACACACAAACCAAATTTAAAGGAAAAAAATTTGAGGCTGACCTGGGTGGGCTACATATTGAGAACCTACCTGGAAAAAAAATAAAAAGCATTTAGAACCCAGTGTCCAGTAGATCTTTTATTAAAATCAGGTCAATTATAAGTTTTCTATATATTAAGTTTAGAAAAAAATCAAGTCTCTTTTTGTATAGATTAAATACTTGTTATAAAATAACTTGGGCCAATTTCTAGCCCATAATATATAATAAATAAATGTAAGCTATGTAAGCTGATACATATTAATGCTGTTATTTTCAAGGGAACTAAGGAAAGAGGAGGCAGTTTTAAAGTGTAGGATACAGTAAATGTTATTCATGTTTCTATTTATTCATTAATTATTTAATTCCTTTATTAAATTCTTGATTTAAAGAGGCAAAGAAAGCTTGGGATGACTTGACCCATTGCTTTTGAGCCAGTGAGAGCACACAGTAGAAGAGTCTGGTTACCATATGACAACCTAGAAGCAAAGAGGGACAGGGAAAGACCAGAGTTCAAGTATTCCCTGCAAGTGCACACCTCCACTCACCTAATTTACTCCTACTAGTTATCTCTGAAAGGCTCCGTCATTTCACAATAGCACCACACCTTTGCACATAGACCTGTGCAAACTACACCAAAACCAAACTATATCAGAAAGGCCAAAAAGAGAATAAGTAGGAAATGGCTCTGTAGATTTATTCATCAACAATGTATTGAAAACTTACCATGTCAGGTACTGTTTTAACTGCTGGAAACCAGCAGCAAGTTAAATAATTTTACTGTCCTGGAGCTCCAATTCTGACTGAAGTCTAAAATTTACTCCTTTCTTTCTGAAGTTTTGATAAGTTTGCTTGGTCATGTAAGCTGACAGCAGATAAATAACAGAAAAAAAAGCCTAAAGGTGTGAGGGAGTCATAATACAATATGAGCTTCAATGGTTGCTGAATCATACAGCTTTAGCAAAGGGATTTCTCCAGTCCTCAAAACTTGCTCTTATTCTTTGGGCTTTGTAGAAGAGGGAAGGTGTACATAATGAGCAAGGGCTCCCTCCTGATATTGATAGAGGTGAATTTTTAAAAAAAATACAGCTTTTTTTTTCCTGTACCTTTTTCACTATTGATAGGCTAAGAGTTTGAGATTTGTCAGGTTCTTGTTTACATTGAATTAAAATCGGACTGCCTGTCTTCTGCTGCTTTGGTTTAAATAACTTGGGGATGGAGAGAGAGCTCAGCAGTTAAGAACACTGGCTGCTCTTGCAGAAGACCTGGGTTCGATTCCCAGCACCAACATGGCGGTTACTACCCTCTTCTGACCTCTGTGGACATTGGACAACATGGGTGCACCTATCTGTATGCAGGCTATATACTCATACACATAAAATAAAAATAATAATAATAAAGTGAATAGAAAATAGTATGTTCTTTAGAGAAAGCCTTGTGTAGCTTTTTTTTCATCTTGCCTCCTATCTTTTCCTCACACTTAAATTTGCCTTGAAAGTGGTGCTGCTCTGTGGAATATTAACCACTTGTACCTTAAAATTGCTTAGAAATTGGATCTCATTATTTGTGCACTAAGTGGACCCTTTTGATGCTAAAGGGTGTCTACTTGCTATCTTCGTTCTTTGAGAAAATAGCTGCTCCTAAAGTCTGCATTTCTGTGTCTATCTCTTATTCTAAGCCCCAATTCTAGTGATTAGCAATTCACCTCATCTTCAGTTACTTAACCTCTTCTAAATGTGCTTAGGACTAACTTGAGGAACATTTTAAGTATTAGACTGACATAATCACACTTATTTATCCAGACTTTCCTTTTATTTGTTCTTAAATTCTTCATATATATTTTTCGAGTTCTGTATATTCTTCATTTCTCCTAAGTAACTCTGATATCTATGAAAATGTAGCTGATGTTTTGAAAAAAAATCAGTTCTTACGCAAAGATTACCTACTCTTTTTTTGTGCACTTGGTAATACAGTGATCGTCTATCCTTACTCTACATCAGATTACCTTTGAAACTTTTTAAAAACTTGTTTCTGCAAATTCTATTCCTGAAGATTGTAGTGTTAAATTTTTACAAACTGCACAGGTATTCTAATTGCAGCCACTATTGACATGGGCCAGCCTAAACACTGTAAACTAATCAGTACATTAAAAAAAAAAAAAAAAAAAAAATCCGCTAATCAGTTCTCCAGTCCTCAAAACTTGAACTCTTCAACTGTCAGTTTTTATGCATTGCACTCGATTGAAACACAATGAACTTCATATAGCAAGATCTTAGGACTGTTGCTCTCCTCCTAGGGGAATCCCCAAGATACATATGCTTAGCCCCTATGTGTTCTGGGAGTTGCACTCAGAGAGCTACTATTCCACCATTGCAAAATCATCAATGTTTCAGGCAAGTAGTAATCATAGTTGAAATCTTGTCACATCCGTTAGGTATCCATGCTGACTAAACCTTGTGATTCAGTAGCTCCCTTTTATCTTTATTTCAAACCATTAAAATGCTTATTAGAATTTTGTCTTTTTTTTAAACTAGTGTGCATTTATTTTCATCTCAGAATAAGAGATACAAGTTCCTGACATTCTGGCATTAACACAGCTTTTTAAAAAAATCTTTAAATAAAGCATATAGGAATGATCATTTCAGAAAAAGGGCTCAAAACATCTTATATCCTGGGGAAGGGTACAAACAGGAAGGGATCTAAGTGTGATCAATATATGCTGTATAAAATGCACAAAAATTCAATTAAAAAAAAAACTCTTATCCTGACATTCCATTCCAATCACATTCAATTTTTTTTATTGTAAGTTTTTTTCATTTTCTAAGCTGTAATTCTACCATGGTGCATATTTGTTAGTTAAGATATACGAACTAATACAAGAATTACCATGATCCTTTTCACTTGTAGAGTTTAATGTATTGTGAAGTACACAGCTGTAAGATCAGGGAAATGGAAACAAGCTGCAGCATGGTGTGGTGTAGTAGAATATTGTGTGGGTAGCAGAATACACCTTTCTGTCTCCTTCCCTATGTCTCTAAACCTCAAAGAGCCATTCAGAAAGATTTTTCACCTTGCATGCATTTAGTATCCTTACGGTGCATTTAGTAACTTTATAGTGAACCATTAGTCATATCACTCATAAGTTCTAAGAAGTTGTTTTAGAAGAATTCAGAAAAAGCAGGAACTGTTTTCCTGCTTTTGCATTCTTTCGCTAGCTTGTTTGTTTCTGACAGTATGTCTTCTCGATAGTTTTTATTGAATATGTTTAGTATATTTGCCTACAAATTATTCTTTGTAGATGACATTGGTGCCCACATGAATGTAGGAAGAACTTACAAAAATTTAAACAGAACTAGAGAAGCTGAAGAATCGTACATGTTGGCCAAATCATTAATGCCTCAGGTAAGTTGTCATAATTTTACTGTCACGTCTACATGTCTTGCTCATGTTCATATGCATAAGAATTACCTGAGGAGGAAATTTTCTTCTTAAATCATCAATATAAAATTACCAGTCTTCTGTCCAAGATGCAAAATTTCCTTGGTTTTTAAAAATTGCTTTCTGTTGTTTATCATTTATAAAGACTGTGTCTTAAGAGTATGAACATTAGATTTACTTGATTATAAATTAAATGATTAAAGAGCTTATTTCGTAGTTTAAACACAGAATTTTTCCTATCAGAAAAATTTCAAAAAGTAGTTAAATAGTTGCAGTATTATATTTATTAGTTGTTACAGTGATTAAAAATTCATTGGATATACACTGTCAAAGATGGAACATCTGATCCTGCCCTCTTACCACCTATATATCATCCATAAAGATAGTTAAGCCAAACTGCAAATTTCTCAATTAAATGTCTCAATTACATAGTTAGGTTATACTTATTATAATCAGATACAATATGATACTTATTAAAAAGCAGATCCATGTTTATATTATGTATAATTTCTAACCTGAATGATCAGTAAGTGCTTGCTTTTCATATTTTTTTAACTTTTACAAAAACTTTATTGAGAATTTCGTACAAGCATATAATTATGTCTTTTGATCAAATCCATGCCCACTCCCTCCCTTCCAAACACCTCCCATATCTCCCCATCACTTTTTTCTTTTACTTTTTCTTTTTTTTTTTTCTTCTTTCATTGATTTATTTTTATGGGGCTTTTGGATACTCTAACATTACCCCCTCTGAAGAGGTACCGCTAAAATCTTTTAAGGATTAGATACAGGCTCCCAAATACTTTTGACATTTTTGGCCTTTGGAACAGTGTATGTTGCTAACCGACCCAAGGACATTTTGACTTTTAGCCAAGAAACTGGCTACTTTTCTTTGGGGTCTTTTTACCTTAACTGCCTAGCCAATTCCTACCTCCTATTCTTACCACGCCATTCTCTGAAGGGGTTACCCAAATTGCCAGTAGGGAACAGGGATGCAGACTGCTCTGGCTTCTTCCATCCTGAACAGGCACGCA